TCATTATGAAGTTTGCTTTCAACATGGCAAGATTAGCCATTTGGGCAAGAAACTGCTCTTGCCTGGACTGTTTGTTGCTGTATAAACTGGACATCCAGGACCCACAAGAAAGTGACTGCTGAACTCACAAAACAAGACAGTACTGAAGGGTTCCTGTTGAAATGGAGAAGTGTGCCAGACACACTATGGCCTATGGGCTGAAGATGGATGCCCCAACGTTACAGAGGAACTTTGGGTGACTGTCCAGGTAGCCAGATGTCTCTGTCAATTCTAGAGTTTATATATTATCCTCCTGTGGTCTTTGATAGAGTTGAAGACAGATAGTTATGGTTATAGTTTTCTTCAGTTATTATAAAAGATAAGTTAGCCTTCTTTTTATTTAGACAGAAAAGAGGAGATGATGGGGAATGTACTGTGTATGTTTATCTTATTGATTATTGAATAAAGTATTTGTTTGGCCAATGAGACAGCAAGTTAGAGAGGAGGACTAGGAGTCAAAGAGGATTCTGGGAAATGTAGTAGAGAAGTGATGATCCAGGCAGGAAGTGGCATAGCAAGGAGATTCATTGAAGCAAGGAGAAAGAGGAAGGGTCGTGCTCCCCTTCCCCCTTTCGCCTCCTCCAATGGCACCATGTGAGCCACTGGCAAGAGAGGGTGCCAGCAAAAGGCATCCTCTATAAAGATAAGTCTTATAACATATATAGATTTATGATAATTAAGACTGAGCTAGCAGATGAGAAATCCTAGTCATTGGCCAAGCAGCATTTGTACCTAATACAAGTCTTAGCATTTGTACCTAAGCATTTGTACCTAAGCATTTGTACCTAATACAAGCGCATTAATTGGGGCCCTAACTCAGGCGGGCGGCTGGCGTAGAGCACCCACGTGGCGGTGGGGCTCCGGCGGCTTTTGGCGGGAAGATTTGTCGTAACAAATGATGATGATGATAGATAGATAGATGATTGATATATAGATATGTGAATAAATAGTTATAAATATTACACAGATACTAGATAAATAATAGAACACTATCAATGTGCCCAACAAATTGTGTTATTTCTAAAGTCTACATGAAACTGCAAGAATCCATGAGGGATTACAATATCTGTAGAGACCTATAACATTAAGTACATTGACTCCAGATTATATGAATAAAATTGGTGACCATGAGAAGGAAAGGCCAACTCCTGCCTGCAGAGCTATGCAGCTGTTTGTATGCACTGTGGTACATGCGTGCACTTTAAGTTGCTTGGTAGGCTGAGGCAGGAGGATGGCTGGAGGCCAGCCTGGGCAACATAGTAGGGCCACTCCCTCTTTTGAAAGAAGAAAAAAGGAAAGGGAGGGAGGGAGGGAGAGGGGGAAGGAAGATGAGAGGGGAGGAGGGAAGGAAAATGGGGAAGAAGAAGCAAAGGAAGAAGGAAAAAAGGTGCCCTTCTTGCCTCACAGCTATGGACATCCAGCTTGGAACTGTGTCCTTAGAGAAGTGAGCACCACAAGAGGGTCTTTGGGAGGACAGCATCTAGGATAAGACTGTCTACATAATCTGAATCTATCATGCTCTTAGGAGGCATGTCCGACCTGAGGGTCCCCAGCCACATGTGTCCCAGGACAGCTTTGAGTGCAGCCCAACACATCAGTAGACGACAATGTTATGTCTCAATGTCAAAAAGACTGGACAGCCCAGGTTAGGCCACTGTTCACCAGCTGTTTCCTGGTTCCCAGAGAAGGTTGGTTCGGAGGGGGGGGGCAACAGGTTACAAGAAACAAGCACATACTAAACCCTGCAGCTGAGGAAACCAAGCCAATGGAGACATACATCTCCAGATGAGGTTATGAACAGAGCTAAGAACCCCACTCCGCTTCCTGATTACAAAGTCCTGGGGTTGATGCCACATAAGGGAAGTGAGCACTGTAGGATTTCCCCCAGCATAGAGAAGGGGGCGGTGCTCACATTCAGGGCGGCCTCTGCTTCTTCCAGTGCAGGTTTGGCTGCCTCCAGTTTGCTCTCTGCTTTCACCTTCTCACTGTCAATTTCATCCACGATCTTCTGGGCTTTGTCTTTTACCTCCTGGACTTCATTTTTCACCTTGGCTGAAGCCTGGGCACTCACTGTGACTTCTGCCAGTACCTGATAAAGAGAGTACCCCAAAGTCTTTAAAGCAAAACATACAGATTTGTGTCCTTATTTAGCAAAGTATAAAATGAGAAAGTAAGAACAAAGCTCTCCACCTAAGTCACCTATATTTTAATGCGTATTGAAAGGGAGCTGAAGTGATGGCTCAGCAGTTAGGAGCACTGACTACTCTCTCACAGGACCTGAATTCAGTTCCAACACACCCGCATCAGTCACTCCAGCTCCACAAGATTAGACTACCATCTACTGGCCACCATGGATACTGCATGCCTGTGAACATACACACACATGTATATACACATGATTAAAAATAAACTCTTTAGCCGGGCGTTGGTGGCGCACACCTTTAATCCCAGCACTCGGGAGGCAGAGGCAGGCAGATCTCTGTGAGTTCGAGACCAGCCTAGTCTGCAAGAGCTAGTTCCAGGACAGCCTCCAAAGCCACAGGGAAACTCTGTCTCGAAAAACCAAAAAAATAAAAATAATAAATAAATAAATAAATAAATAAACTCTTTAAAACACAGTTCTTGTCCCCTAGAGAAGGGGAAAGGGTCATCATCCCCTGAGCAAATTGAGAACATGGGAAGAGGGGGGAGGAAGCTACGAGAGTGAGAAGGGAAGAAAAGGAAGGATGCAGGGGTCATGAGGAAGCAGAAATTTTGAGTCAGGTGTAGATTAGAAAATAGGACATATGTCAGGTAGGATTTTAGTTGGGGGGTGGTAGAAGAGGAAGGGAGGGAGAAGGGAACTGAGATTGTCATGTAATTCAATCTTGTTTGTAATTCAAATATATAAAAATAATAAATAAAAATGAGATGGTTCTGAAAAAAAACACAGTTCCTCTGAGCGGTATCGTGTAATACTCCATTTTCTGAGCTATCCTTACACTTAAGGGTATATATAAACAAATGTAAGATTTCATAAAACAAAAACAAAAACAAAACATGGTATTTCTGGTCTCTGACCTTCTGAATAATTAAAACAATTCAAGTACAATGGGTTAAAGTAAGAAGCCATATTGAGTCTCCTGTAATAATAAAAACAGTTAACATCTGTTGATTGTTTGGCACATGCTGGGACAATGCTTGCCTAGAGTGCCATTCAATTCCACAACTGGCTGTGGTCCAGGCTCAGGTCTCCACTTCCTAACTGATTCTCGGCTGACTTTGAAAAATGATTGGACACAAGTGAGCCACACAGGCATCCTATCACCTGGGGAGCGAGGCCTTTTGGTTGTTGATCTTTTTTTACTCCACCAATGCTAGTCATTTTCTTACTCAGAAAAAAAAAATGTTTTTTGATGAGCCTTGACTCCTCTAGAAAACTAGACTATAAAGGGACCTTAAAGTACGACTTAATGTAACTCACAGTTAAGGAGAAAGTCCACAAAAAGATGAGTGAGAGCAAGAGTTTAAGTAGAGAGAGAAAGAAATATTCTAGACCAGGCAGAGGATGTCCCTGTAAGGCTAATTGTCTTACCACACCTAGGTTGTAGGTTTAGGTTCTGTTTATTTTAATAAAGTTTAAAAAAAAAGATTTTACAAGTAATTTTAATCAACTATTTGAGAGTTACATGCAATGTAAAAATGTCTTTTAAACATGGGGAGTCATTCCTTGTTGGTAGGGACAGGGTACGTGAAAACTCACTTCATCTGCTTTCACGGAAGCCACGGCCAGTTCCTTCTCCTTGACGGCGAGATCCTGTGAGAGTTTAGCGACAGATTCGCTGGCCTCCATCAGCTTGTCCAGACCTTTACCAACACACAGGCCCTTGCTGGTTAAGGCACAGTCTCACATCAGGTATGTATTCACTACTGACTATGTACAAGGCAGGCACAGTGGATGACATGCATACCAAAGACAGCATGGCTCATTACAGACAGAAATATACCTGTCTTTAGAACAAGACAGATCACTTTGCTGACTTGCCCAGCTTTTCTCGTGGGTGCTAGGGATCGGAACCCAGGACCTCATGCTTGTACAACAAACACTTTACCCACTGAGCCATCTCCCCAGCCCTGGTTTTGTCTTGTTACAGTTTTGCTTTTTCCCACAACATGTGTTTTCCTGGTCAGCAAGCTGCGCTCAGGGACTGTGACTCACACCTGACACCATGAACCTGGGGCTAAAAGAGCTATTATCCATAATTCTAGAGAAAGAAAGGACTCTCTGTTCACAGCTACCTAGTTTTTAGCAGGTCAAGGGGCATTTGGTAAGATGATCTACTTTTAACAATCAAATTAATATTTGGATTGAACAAACACTCAGGAGTTCAAGGTCATCCTGGACTATATATAGAGTTGGAGGCCAATGTACACTATAGGAGACACTGTCTCAATATACCAAAACAACTATTAAAAATTTGTACTTAGGGGCTAAGAATCCATACTGTTCTTGCAAAGAACCCAAGTTCATTCCCAGCACCCATGTAAGGCAGCTCACAAATTCCTGTAACCCCAGCTCCAAGGGATTCAGTTCCCTCTTCTGATCTCCATATGCACCTGCCTTCATATGCAACACACATACACACACACACATATATACACACACACACAGTCACATATACACACAGCCCCACACACAGAGTCACATACTCACACATAGCCACATATATACACAGTCACTCACACATAGCCACATACATACATACAATCACATACACACACACACACACACACAATCACATACATACAATCACATACACACACACAGAGTCACATACTCACACATAATCACATACAGCCATAAACACAGTCACATACTCACACATAGCCACATTTATACACACAGTTGCATACATACACACACACACAGTCACATACTAACACACAGTCACATACATACATACATACATACATACAATCACATATACACACACAGAGTCTCACACACACACACACACACACAGTCACATACTATACACACACAGCCACTTACTCAATACAGTCACATACTCATAGCCATACACACACACATACAGAGACACACACACACACAGAGTCACATACTCTCACACACACACACATACACACACACATACAGAGTCACACACACACACAGTCACATACTCACACACAGTCACATACTCACACACAGTCACATACATACATACATACATACAATCACATACACACACACAGAGTCACACACACACACACACACATAGTCACATACCATACACACACAGCCACTTACTCAATACAGTCACATACTCATAGCCATACACACACGCATACACACACACACACACACAGAGTCACATACTCACACACACACATACACACACACACACACACACAGAGTCACATACTCACACACACACATACACACACACACACAGAGTCACATACACACACACAGAGTCACATACACACACAGAGTCATATACACACACATAGCCACATACTCACAGTCACATACATGAATAATTTTTAAATCCCCCCCAAAAAATGATTTTCAAACACAGTGACATAATAAAATGTTGGGTTTGAAAGGTTCAGGCATTATACTGGCCTGCCCCTGTTACCTGGTGGAATCCACTCAGGCAATACCCTGGTCAGCCCAAGGTTCCATGGGAAAGAAGTCTGCACGCAGGTGCAGAGGACCCCTTTAAAAGATAGGCCCCTGCACCTTTACGCTCTCTCTGCCCCTTTACTCTCTCTGTCTGTCTCTCTCTCTCTCCCCCTGTCTCTCTCTCTCTCTCTGTGTGCTCCCCCGTCTCTCTGTTCCCCGCTCTGTCTCTCTATGGTGACCGGCCATGGCGGTCAGCCATTACCCTGTTCCTCTTCTTAGTCTCCCCATTCTACCGGGCCTTATAATAAGCTTATAGTCAATATGTCCATCTCAATATTTCTCTTTTCTTCTTTTTAAACAAAAGAATAACAGGGTTCACCATCAAACAAACCCCAAAAAAGACAAAACTGGCCATTCCTCTTACCGATATTCATCCGCTCGGCTTGCTCATTGATATACTTCACCTTTTCAGTGTAGATGTTTTTATAACCATTTATAAATGAGAGATATGATTTGGGAGTCACATGGGCTCTTCGGCGGTATCTGAAAATGGAATATAAAAATAGCCCCCTCAGTCCCTCTACCATCGATAGAGTGCCTCATACGCTGTAGCTACGGTGACAGCTATGGGCAGTACCTGGCATCCCGAGGGCCATGGGGAAAGACAGGACAGATCTGTCTGTGGCTTTGCCGTCATGGGGTCCTTGACCTGACTCTTGCCCTACTGTAGCATATAGGAAGTTGGGGGGAGGATGTTGTATAACCCATCAGGGTTTTGTGAAGATTAAATGAATTAGAACACATAAGCATGCTCTGTCAATAGGACATTTCTGGACGGGCGTGGGGACAGTGGAACTGATGCCAGTGTGCTTTGTAACTCATTGTCACTTAGCTGCTGTTTGCTGCTCATTATAAGACCAGTCTCTCCCTGTCTAGCTGAATTGGCCTTGAAGTCCAAATAGCCACACTGGACTCAGGGTTTAACTCACTGTGGGCTTTACCCTTCAGTCATCATAGTAACCACCAAAATAAACAAAACGGGGTGATTTTACATCAGGGAAACTAAGGTCCAAGTCTAGACGCTACAATCTTACATTTCTGACTTAATGGCTTATCTATGGAGTTCTGAGGGTTTTTTAACATTTTCAAAGTTTCTTTTGATTGTTTTGTTTTTGTCTTTGTTTAGAATTGACATGTAAGTAACTACCACTAGAGCATTTTGTGAAGACATTCACTTTGTAAAAATCATTCTGCAGAAACCATTCTTCAACTTAATAAGAAAAGTTTGAAAGATGTAGCGACACTTTCAAAACTCAAGAAGAAATACATTTTGAGGTCATGTGAAAACTAAAAGGAAATTGATGTTGCCGGATGATAGAAGTAGAAGAAACAACGTCCGCCTAGTTGTGAGGATTCGTGCCCACTAACTCCAGAGAGTCTGAAACACCTGGCAACTGGGTAAGAGGGATGGTCTAAGCATGGTCCTAGCACAAACAAGTGTTTGTCATAAGCAAACACTTCATGGCACAGGCCTCCCTCAACAGTCCCAGTATCACCCGAAACACAGCCATAGCTCTTCAATCAGGTTCTGAGCCTCGAAAGCCCACCCACTCACCCCAAGCAGAGAGCTCAGTATTCTGGAGGCCCCTGTAGAATCTACTTTGGTCTGACCTGGCATCCTTACCCATGGCTCCCACGCATGGTGGGGCAAGGAAACCCTACAGTATTTTTTAAGCTCTGTGGCTAGCTTGCATGGAATGCACACACCATGACTGCTTTTACGGAGTGGTTCTCCTGCAACCAATTAAAGTCCTGCTTCATAGTTAATTGCCAGAAAAGCTTTGATAAGACTTGGCTATGCAAGCGCCAAACCTTGAATGTTCCCTCAACATGAGGCAATCAAGAGACTAAAAACAGTGTCCTTCTTTAATCAGAATAAATAATGCATTGGGATGAGAAAGCTCATTTTAAACCATTTATAAGGAATTATTTAGGTCATTTTCAAAACAAAATTAAGCAAATGAAACCGTGATTCATTAAGCATCTGCTACTTGGAGTCCTGGAGGTATTTAAAAGTATGGCCCCTAGTTAATTTTTTAAATCTCATTTATCTGGCATCTTTTCATTGCTTAATCACTAGAAAATCAATGCAAGAAAAAATGTGCTGTGGCTGGACCTGCATGACCAGACTATGCAAAGAGTTGCTTACTGGTCGTTACAATTAATTCCTCTTTGGAGAGAACTTGATGGTTCCAGTTCCAGCAGCTACAGATCTTATGCAATCTCACTTCCCTTTGGAAATGATTCTCCCAGCTGCTGACATTCTGTAATCCCACGTACCTTTGGAAATAATTCTCACAGCTCTCAGAAACCATGTCGTGAAAGAGCCCCATGGTTTCCACCACCTGCTTCTTGATCTCAGTGGAACAGACAATGTTGTACTCTAAAAGGAAGTAGGAGGCTACGGCTATCAGAGCCTCCTTGGGCCAGCGGCTGAACCAGTCCATGGTGCAGCCAGAAATCAAGCCAGGAAACTTCAGGGACCGGGCCCGGAACTTCTCACCAACCTGTAGAGAACACAGTCAGAAGGCATGAGAAACACAGAGGGAGGAAGGCCAACACTAAAGGTTGAAAAACACCTCCTTGGGCTGCAGCAGAATACCAAGCTGGGGTTTAACTGGAGGAAGGTGTGGTATTAATAATCTCTTCCCTGTCCTGGAGAAATGGCTGCCATATTGGGTTCAAGTCTAGGAGCTACCTTCTAAGAGGAAAGTGACATAGTAACAATGAGACCTCTTGGCAAGAGGACTGGGGGGGGGAGGGGGGCTGGGCACTAGGGTGAGTACAAATGTGACAGCCCCGGGTGGACTCCAAGAAATCAGAATTCCCCGAGAATGCCATGCTTGCTACGTGAAGGAAAAGGCTGAAGCCTGGAGCCAGTTAGGGGAGGATCTTGTCTCCAGGAAGAGACCTCACACAATCCTGACAAATTGTCAGATCACCTTGCAAGGCAGACTGGAGCCCAGTGACGATGGCAGGACCACACCGTGACAGAGGGCTACATTGCTCTGCCCAGCTCTTGCCTTCTACCTAAACTCAAACCTCAGGACAGAACCTGGAAGATGGACTTGGGGCAGTGAAAGGGCATGTCATTGGGCCCCTTTGTTCTTCCTCCCAATGTGACTACACTGAATAAATTTCCCTGTTCTGTTTTTCACTGTTCATTTGTCTCTTTAATGGGCTCGTTGAGTACCAGTGGCCAAGGCTGGCCTCTTGAGCAGCTGGGGTCTTAGGTTCTGACCCTAACATCAAGTAACACAGGCAGCTTAAGGAACAGGTGGTCCCTCTAGGGAAGAAGTTAGGGAGCTCAAGAGACTCCTCCAAGTGTCTGGGATGCTCCAAGTGTCTGAGAAGAACTGGGTTTATTTTTACAAGGCTGACGCAGAGAAAAGCACAGAGAGAGAAAACTCAACTGAGTATAGGGAAGAGTTCTGATGATCAGGCTGTCTCCACCCTATGGAGGTACAAGACCCTCAGAGGCAGGGCAGAGCTATGCAGTAAAACCTCTCGAGAGCATGTCATTGTCCTACGTGAACATATTCTAGCAGGGTTTCCCAGCATGGTAGACATTGGCTACCCAGGACCAGTGAACACTGGAAATGGGATGACCAGGACCCAGGAACTGGACTTTTATTTTTACATAATTTTAACTAATCAAAATTTAAGTAGCCACACTGCTAGATAGGCAAGCACAGTGAGTCAGAGATACTCAAAGTTGGAAAATCCATCAAGAATATTCTAGATGTTATGTCTATATTGGATATGTAGATAGGTGAGATGCATCACTAAATTCTTCATGATTCAAATAATGAATGTCTCTTGTTAATTTGTGAACCTCAAATAATTTATATATTCTTACATGGCTACACAGGTGATAGGAAAGGATTCATTTTTGTCTCATGAAAGAAAGGTTAGTTTCTGATCAAATGTCTCATCAGAGAAGGTTGCCTATTAGATGAATGATTCCACCTACATAACGAATGAAGACTCACTGGGGAAAAGCAGAGAACAACGTGTAAATTCCTCCTGGATCTGGAGATGAAGTATTCATACAGGTTATCAAAGGTGGGAGGGTGGCGAGGCAGCTCCCTCTTCATCACCGATATCAGGCCTTGGGTGATCTCATCCATCTCATCTCGAGCAAACAGATTGGAGATCTTTGAGGAACATACAAGAAAGTGAAAAAGTGATGTGTGTTTTAAATGATTAAATTTCCCACTGCTGAAAGTCTGGTTAGCCACTCCCCTCCCTTGGACTCTAGGGATCTCTCTCTCTCCTCTCTCTCTCTCTCTCTCTCTCTCTCTCTCTCTCGCTCTCACACACACACACACACACCACCACCACCACCACCACCACCACCACTACTTCCTTCCTGCTGCTCCTCAGCTACCTGCCAAGTTTGCCAGACATTATCAAGAGCATGGCTCTTTTATTGAACACAGTTAGTTATCAAGAGCAATTCACAGTGCCTCCATCCCCCATAAAGAAGCTGTCACCCGAAGACATGTCCCTCTCCACCCCTCCAATCAATGATTTCAAGTAGCCAGTGATTGACTGGTCTTCTCAACTCTACTCTCAAGATGTTTTGCTTCACCCTGGTCCCATCAAGCATCAGCAATCACCAGTATGCTGGCCAAGTCAACAGTGACCTTGAGAAGGGAGTGCTTTTGGAGCTTCCCATTGGCTGGTATCTGAGACCTTGGCTTTGGGGATCTCTCTTCCATTACTAACTGGCAAGGTGTTTCCCCTGAGCTTAAACTATTCATACAAGCACTGTCCATATATGGTAAAGGCCTGCTTTTTCCCTGGGAATCCATAACTTCCACAGTTGTGGGTGGCCCTAACAAGATCTTCTGACTCAGAATCCCACACAGGCTTCCCTGAGCGGAAATGTGGTGTAAGCAGCAGGAGATACACAGGTCAGCACCTCTTCCTGAAGGGAAGGCATGTTATGGCCCCTCAGGGAAAGCATAGGATACCTGGACATTGGTTCCTCAAGGCTACATGTGGTGTGTGTGTGTGTGTGTGTGTGTGTGTGTGTGTGTGTGTGTATGTGTGTGTGTGTGTGTGTGTGTATGTGTGCACCTGTGTGTGTATATATGTGTGTGTACATGTTCACACATGTGGGGTGTGCACATTATGTGTGCTGGTGTGCGTGCACATGCATGTGGAGGCCAGAGGACAATCTCAGTGTCATTCTTCAGAAAGCATCCACCTCGATTTTTGAGACATGGTCTCTCACTGACTTAATACTCACAGAGTAGGCTATGTTGGCTGGACAGGGAACCCCAAGGACCCATCCATCTTCATCTCCACATCTCCACAGTAGTGGGATTCAAAGAACTTGCATGTATGTATGTATGTATATATGTATGTATGTATGTATGTTCTGGAGATCAACCTCAAGCAAGCATTTTACCGACCAAACCTTCCCCACAGTCCAGGATATCTCCTACTTATGACCCAGTTGGGCATCCTTACTATAAGTCTCAGACATTAGTACAACTACATGCTGAGTGCTGGTGACCTTCTAACAAAGTATTAAAGGTGGGTGGCCATGGGAAACAGTAATGAAAGAACCCACCGCACCCACTTCCAGCAAACAAAAATTCATTCAACCATTCTACACTCCCAACTGGTAAGTAGGCAGAACAATAAAATAAGGCACAGGACCAAGCTGAAGATAAAAGATAGGCCAGGAACTGTGTTTAAGATGGAATAAAACATACAAAATAAATATGGAGGTAGGCAGCATTCATTTCACACAAATACAAAAATAAAATGAAGTAACCTACTACATCCTGTGTGCCTAAAACTCGTTTCTCAAGTCAAGAATGTATGCAAAACAGTCTGGCTTTGGTAAAGCTCCCGTTCTTCCTACACAAATGAGATTTGAATTTAGGGGCTGGGGAGATGGTTCAGCTGGAAAAAAATGTATTAGGACTTAAATTCAGTCTCCAGAACCCACATTTTAAAAACTAGCAAAAGTCAGGGTCATATAATCCAAGTACCCCAGTACATGGTTCAAGCCCCAGCACCTATGTAAAAAGTCATGCATAGAAAAAACAATGTCATGCACAGTGGCACATGTTTTCAATTCCAGCACTGGGGAGATGGAGACAAGGAGAGCCCTGGGGCTCAATGACCAGCCAGAGTCCCAGCACATCAGAAAATCTCTTGCCCAAAACAAACAAACAAACGGTGGATGGTGACTGAGAGGAATGACAGCCATGGATGACTTGGAACTTCCACATGCAAATTCACACATGAGCACATATGTCCACACACATACATTCACCTGGGTGTGGGCACACACACACACACACACACATACACACACACACACACGATGCACACTTTCTCACTGTGAGCTGCCCCTCTCTCCAAGACCCACCTCCCCTGAGGACAGCAAGTTATTGAGGTATTCTAGGAATGCCTCGTCTTTTATTTCATTGTCTGTAAAGATGAAGGTGATGCCTTTGCCCTCAGCTCCAGCAACTTTGTACAAATTCTTTAAGTCATCTATTAGATTGGCCACATTGTAAGACCTAGAAGAGAAGCAAATGATTTGTCAAAGATTTTAATGAAGTTGGAGCTATGGCTCAGCAGTTATGAGAGCTCTAACAGAGGACACAAGTTTGGTTCCCAACTGCCACACTGGGTAACTCAAAACTGCCTCTAACTCCAGTTCCAGGGGGCATGGTGCCCTCTCCTGGCCTCTGTGGGTACATGTCTTGAGCATACAGATGAGTAGGCACACACGTACACGTACATTTAAAAGTAACATGTTAACCTATATAGTCACAGTTTATCTCAAGACACAGTTTCCATGATTAATTAAAGCAAAAATCTGCACTGGCTCCAACACATATTGAGTAAGAGTGTCTGCCAGAAAACACAGGGAGTAAAGATAAAGAACTGAGTTTTACCATCCAAAACAAGCTTGTTATATACACATCAAGAACAGAGAATTGGAGAACTTAACAGAAGTGACCCAGAAATAATAACGGAGAAGGAAAAGGAATATAAGCCCCTATCCAGGCATTCTAATAAGCAGATATTGTTGACTCATGCATCTAATATCTAAAACTAATCTGAAATCTGGATGAGTTTGGTTTTGGGGGGTGGGGAAGTCACAATAACTTATGAATAAAATTAGTGACAAATTATATATCACAATCATGAGCACAGCCCACTAAGCGGCTAATGACAGAGGGAGCCTACAGATATATTATGCAGTTTGGCCTAAGTGGCTGAAATACCGTAGTGAGAGGGTTACTAATTATGAAACGGGAAGATACTGGGCTTTTTTTTCTATCCACCCTGTTTCCTGGTAGCTATAAGTGCCACCAGAAGCAGTTTTGATATATAATAATACAACAGACCTTTTCTGAAGTGTTGTATCCAATGAGTAAATTGATGACAAGTATAGTGAAGAAATGTCACATGAAGACGGTATCTTGGTGCAAGCAACAAGGCCACCTACTGGGATCATGGATTCAGATACATCCAGGAATCTGGCTCAATATCAACAAGGGAAGAAGTGCTGGGGGCTGGAGTCTCTACCGGCTCAACCAGACACTGAAGGGAGACTCCATGGTTCCACTCAAGGAGAGAGGCATGGCTCAGCCAGCCACTGAAGGGAGACTCCGTGATCCCACTCAAGGAGAGAGCCATGGCTCAGCCAGACACTGAAGGGAGACTCCATGATCCCACTCAAGGAGAGAGGCATGGCTCAGCCAGACACTGAAGGGAGACTCCATGGTTCCACTCAAGGAGAGAGCCATGGCTCAGCCAGACACTGAAGGGAGACCGTGATGGCAGCTTTTCCAATTATCCAAGAGAAGTCAGGAGTGTATCTTTTAAGATGTTAAACCTTCCAATTTTTAACTAATTTCTATTAACACATTTTAACTAACTTCTAACATAAATTTGTGTTATTTAATTATTTATTGAGAATTTCATACATTGATACTGTATTCACATCACTTCTACCTCTCTCTCCTCCTCCCACGTCCTCCATGCACTCTCAATTTCTTATCTCTCCACTATAATCATCATTCTCTATTCCCTCTACCTTAAGCACACACACACCCCCCCCCCCCCCCCCCCCCCCCCCCCCCCCCAACACACACACACACACGACCTGCCATTTAGTGTTACTCTCACATAAGTGCGTTTCAGGCTGACCACTATAAGCTTTCTTATAACTCTGGAGGTCCATCCCTGGTAAAAAACTGATTCTCCCTCTCTCTGCAGCCACTGGTTGCCTATCACTCGCTCTTCATCTATGGGTGGGGTCTTACGAACTGCCCCCGTCCACATTGGTACGTTGACTGGTGCTGTCATCATGCAGGTCTTTGACTACTTATCCATAATCTGTGTATATCTTCATTCATATATATATATATATATATATATATATATGTATGTGTGTGTGTGTGTGTGTGTGTGTACATATATATGAATGTATATATGTAAATATATATATATTAAATTTTACTTAGAGATAGGGGGTCATAGGCTGGAGAGATGGCTCAGGGGTTAAGAGCACTGTCAGAACACTGTATACATAATAAACAAATCTTTTAAAAAATAGGGGGCCAGAAAGATGGCTCAGCGAATAAGGATACCTGCTATCAAGCCTGCCGATGTGAACTCAATCCCTCAGGACCCAAACGGTGAGAGAAGAAAACAGACCCCTGAATGCTCTGGACCCATAATCTGGACCCACACGGTGAGAGAAGAAAACAGACCCCTGAATGCTCTGGCATGTCTACATGTATACACACATGCACACGATAAATAATACAGACGCAAGGAGAAAAAAAAAAACAGAGGTAAAGCAATGCACCCAAGAATTCTGTTTTTAAACATAAACATTTAACTGCAGGATAACACATCACTGGGTGTTATCCACCTTACCTTGTTAACGTTATCTGAAATATTTGGTACCCAGCAATAAAAGAGGCCAGCCTTGAAAGGCTCTGCTTCCCTGAGCCGCCGACACCCACCAGCAATGCATTCCCACAGGAAGTTCGAATTATCCGGGAGATCTAGTTTTGAAATAAGAGTATATATCAGAAAAATGGGTGCAAATATCTACATTTTCTTGCACCAACGGGTCCAACGACTGACCAGACTGACCACATGTTTCCAGACTACTTTAAAGTCTTTCCTAATAATGCTACATCTTAGGTTTTGTTGCTGTTGTTTCAACAAGCTACATTGCTTTACTTAATTCAACTTATTTTTTCAATCTACATCTATGTGTCACATATGGCGGGGAGCAGAGGTGAGAAGAGGGTGCTAGGTCCTCTGGAGTTGGAGTTACAGATAAATCATCCCACATGGGTGATGGGAGCTAAACTCAAGTCCTCTGCAAAGGCAGTGAGAGTTCTTAGCTCCTAAGCTGTCTCTGCAACCCCTTCAGTTTCCTCTGCCCACCTGTATCTGCATCATAAAAAGGAGCAAGTTGGTTTTACTCTCTTCTGCTTCACAGCTGTTCCTTCTGTGTGGTTATGTGAACCTGTCATTACTCATTCTTATTTTTTTAAGACTTATTTTTGTGTGTATGTGGTGGGGAGGGGTTGCACAGGTACCCAAGAAGGCCAGAAAAGGATATCAGATCTGCTGGAACTAGAGCTGTCGGCAGTTGTGAGCTGTCCATTGTGGGTCATAGGAACCAAACCCCAGATCCTCTGGAAGAGCAGCATGTGCTCTTAACCTCTGAGCCATCCCCCCAAGCCCTCATTTAATTTCTCTGAGACTTAATGAATGATGAGGATACACAAAGTATAAGAAAGGGTTAAAGTCAATTGTGTACTGTGCACACCGTCTGTTACAATGAATCATACACACACCTATCTACAAGGAACACTGGCCCTACCATCTCTTTTCACAGAGTATCAAAATTCTGTGATTAGCAAGAGTAAAGGGACACTGTTGGGAAAAGCCTGAGGGAGCAAGCCTTCCATCTGGCTTTTCTGGACTGATTCCCACAGTGAGGCTAACAGGCAAATGGAGGCTTAAAGCTTATGAAGGCCATGTGAAGACACCACACACACACACACACACACACACACACACACACACACACAAAGCCGTCTTCCAGTCTTTTATGTAAATGCCAACAACTAAGAAGAATGTAGATGGATCACTGATCTATTTTAAAAGATTTTATTTTGTGTGTACATGTTTTGTTTGCATGTTATCTATGTACCACATGTATGCAGTGCCCAAGGAGGCCAGAAGAAGGTGATGGATGCCCTGGAGCTGGAGTTACTGATGGTTGTGAGATACTGTGTGGATGCTGAGAACCAGACCCGCCTCCTCTGGAAGAGCTGCCTGTGATCTTAACCAGGGAGCCATTGCTCCAGGCCCTACAAGCAACTATTTTTAAAACATATGATATATATGATGACAAATCAGTAATGGCACATTGATTATGGATGGATTGCATCACATTTTGAAGCATATTCATCACTTATGTATTTTTGCACCTAGATGAGGGTCTCAACGCCCCTGAGTCGATGTCATGGTGGGAATTTAGTAACTAATGTGTTGGATGTATCTTGTGGAAACCTTGAGACATTAAAAATTAATTCCACCAACTTTGAGGCTGTATCACCTCATGATGTCATCACTGCTGGGAAGAATTCCTCTTCCATCACCCAATCACATAAGTGAATAACCTGTTGGCCAGTTTTTTATCAATGGATCACACCATGTTACCTCTAAATAGCTCTTTTCTCCCCATCAGTCCTGTGCACCTGTCTTTCCCCTCCCCCATCAGTCCTGTGTACCTGTCTTTCCCTTCCCCTCATCAGTCCTGTGCACCTGTCTTTCCCTTCCCCTCATCAGTCCTGTGCACCTGTCTTTCCCTTCCCCTCATCAGTCCTGTGCACCTGTCTTTCCCTTCCCCTCATCAGTCCTGTGCACCTGTCTTTCCCTTCCCCATCAGTCTGCCCACAATCTGCTCTCCAGCCACAAAGGGGACACTTTGTAAATTGTCTTTCCACCCCTGGGCAACAAGATTCCTACAACAGGGCTGTGGAGATAGCTCAGCAGGTAAGAGTCCTTGCTGTGTGCCTGGCAGTAGTGACACATGCCTTTAATACCAGCACTCAGGCAGAGGCAGGTAGACCTCTGTATTTGAAGCCAGCCTAAGCTACAGAGTTCCAGGAACCAGGGCTACACAGAGAAACCCTGTCTCAAACAAGCAAGCAAACAAACAAACAGTCCTTGCTATGCAATTATGGGATCTGAGTTCAATCACAGAACCTACATAAAAAGCAAGGAATGACCACACACCCCTAACATTATGAGGGTCAGGCACAGGAGGTTCTGTGTCTGCCTCTCATAGAGATGACACAGAGATGGTTGGCTGCCAGAGATCCAGTTTCAGTGAGAGACCCTGTGTCAAGGAAGTAAAGTGGAGAATGGCAGAGCAGGACACCTGACATCCTCCTCTGGCCTCTTTGTGAGCATGGGCACACACGCCTATATACACAATAAGCATAATTCCAAGAAGGGGCATTTCTTCAAGGGGTGTTTGATCTTCCTCCAAGAATGGGGAGCACTCGAAGTCAGAATGCCAAGAAGCTCTGGGCATAAAACCATCTGCCCTTGGAAAACATGCTGCTGTGTAAGTGGTCTTTAATAATCCACTGTTCTCAGAAGCAGGGAGCTGACTCAACCATGGCTGCTCTTCTCGATGCTGCCTGGAAAGGTGGATGCTCTTGCAGTAAGTACATTTACCTAAGAAACTAAGTTTTAACAACATTTGCATTGCCCAGGAAATAGTCAACAGAACCTTAATCAGGTGAGTCATTGCATCTTTAAAAAACACCAGGTCAAGAGTTGTCCCTCTGATGATCTCATTGAACTGTTTCTGATAAAACTGGAGTTTTTCAGACAGATACTCAAAGGTTGGCACCTGTAGGAGAGAAAAAAAAAAAACCTAATATTTAAGATCCAAACTTTTTGATGTAGCAAGTATTTTTATCTGATTCTAGTCTGTGTTTTTGGTAGTTTGGCTTTTTGAAAACACACAGAAATTTTCTGCTATTTATGTGGCCAAATCCACAACTTTGTAGCTCTAAGGCAAAGCCTTGCCTACTGTGTTTTCACTCTGTTCTCCAGCTCACTCCATACTTTATAATCATGGTGACATTCAATCTTCTTCCCTCCCCCAAATTCATTTGAAATCTTGCTTTCATTTCATTCAATCTACCTCTTTTTGCTTATTTTGTATTTATGTGTGATCCTGATTGAGCTTTTGTAAACCATATGTATGCAGATGCCCTTGGAGGCCAGAGGTTTCAAATCCCCTGGTCCTGGAACCACAGAGAGTTGTAAACTGCTTTGTGGGTCCTGGAAACTGAACCCAGGTTCTCTACAAGAGCAGTCAGTGCTTTCAACTGCTGAGCCATCTCTCCAGTGCCAAATCTATTAATGTAGTGAAACAGCATGTCTCTACTTAATTCACTTGAGTTTTATCACATCAATGCCCCAGTATTTTATCCAGGATGATGAACAAAACACTTTCAAAGTCACATTTCCTATCTTGGTACTGTTGGCAAAGGCTAGCTCAACTTCTATAATGGCTAAATTAGTAGATATTTTAGCTTGTGATCCTTGCCATATCTATTGCAACTGCTCCACTCTGCTCTTGCAAAGCAGCCACAGACAAAATATAAACAATTGTATGTGATCTATTTCAATAAAACTTTATCTAGAACTTGGAAATTTCAATTTCATATAGCTTACATGGTATTTATTATTTATCTATCTATCCATCCATCCATCCATCCATCTATATCTATATATCTCTCAATTTAATACCCACTAAGTTTACTTAGTGCTGCCCTGTGTGTGCATGGGTGTTGGACAGTCTCCTAGAACATGGGTAGCTCCTAGAACATGGGTAGAACATGGGAAAAGTGACTCCCGCTCTTCCAGTAGCCATCAATTGTCAATAGCTCCTTAGTTGACACAGGACTTCGTGAGCCCCTCACCATCCATGCTGAAACCTCTAAGAGATTAAAAAAAATAAGTACCAATTCATAGATTTTAGGCACTTCAAACGCAGTGTCTTCAGGTTCGTCACCAGTGATTTCAGGCATGTCACGAAGAAAATCCACAAAGTATGGTTCAGGGAGAAGAACTGACGCAATGTCTGGGCTGATGTTTTCTTCAATAGCCCGAATGAGCTGTGCATCGAACCACTGTTCGTCTTCAGGAGTTATAAACCTGAAAGGACAGGACACTGAAAAGAAGACAGAAGACAGAGGCAACATCTCTACCTAACCCTGCACCTTCCTTACCTCACGACAGTAAACACTACACCCTCTATTCGGAGACAGACACCGCCCTGTGGCTTAGATGAAGCCAACAGGTCCCTATGACTTGCAGGGCGAGTGGGGGGCAAGCGCATGGTGTCAGACTTGCCGTGCCACAGAGGAAAGACAGAGGGCTGCTTACAGCTCAAGAGTTCTACCTATGTGTTAGAATGGTGCAGTTCCCACTTTACAGCTTCATGAGCCTGGTGACATCATGTACACATCACAGATGAGGAAAGTGCAGCTTGGAGAGACGACTGAACTTTAACTGGGGCAACAAATGCAATGATCACCATTTTTTTTTTTTTTTAGAAAATACACAGCTGAAAATCACTGCTAAATTGTATCAACTCTCTGGTGGTGAGGAGGCCCAGGAAGAAGAGCTGTTGAAGTAGTGTGGGGTGAACTGACAGAGAACTTTCTTAAATTGACTGACCAGTAGGAAACACTATTATTACTTCTCAAGCCTTACTGAAAACTGGCATACAGGCCAAGGAGATGGCTCGGTGGGTACAGTGCTACTGAATGAACATGAGGCCTTGGGTCTGGATAGCCAACACCTTTGTAAAAGCCAGGTGCAGTAGCATATACCTTGTCACCCTAGCTCTAGAGAGGCAGAAGCAGGAGGAGCCTTGGGGCTCTCTGGAAGGTCAGTCTCGCTGAATTAGTGAGCTGTGGACTCAGTGAGAGACCTTGACTCAAAAAAGAACAAAACAACACACACACACACACAAAAAAAAAAAAAAAAAAAAAAAAAAAAAAAAAAAACTTGAGGCAATCATCCTTATTCCACGGCTGAGTGGGTAATGCAAGAATGAATCTAAGGTTTAGGTTAATTAGGCCTAGCTTCTCAGGTCAAATGTGTACACTTCAGGGCTGCAGTGCCCACCTGTCCGCGATCACTCTGTGGCACTCATGCTTGAAGAGTGACATGAGAATGGTGATGGAGTCACACTCTTCAGCTTTTATGGTTAACATCCCTTGCCAAATCCTGGAAAGATCTCGAAGGTTGAAGATATAGTGAAATTTAGAAGGCGTCGGAAGCATCTTCACCTGGAGATGAGGAACAAGGTTAATACTCTCAATTTAATTCTCAGATAAAGACTGAGAGTAGAAATACCTTCTTGGCCAGTCTATCTCATGCACCCTATTTTAGTATCTTTCTTCACTTCTATTTTTCTATATGTTTGATTTCATGTATGTCTGTCAGCTCCCAGTGAGAACAGAAGAAGGCATCAGATCCCCCAGGGCTAGAGTTACAGATGGCTGTGAGCCATTACGTGGGTGCTGGGAACTAAACCCAGGTCCTCTGCAAGAGCAGCCAGCCATCTTAACCACCTCTCCAGCTCCCATCACGTATCCTATTTGAGACAGGACCTGGTGAGTAAATAAATCAAAACCAAGCTTATATTTCTGTCACAGCATTGATGTCAGTTTTTAAAAAATCATATATAAGCAACATAAAATTTTAAAGCCAGGAACCCTTAGACAGGATGGATTCAAGAATAATGTACAAGAGACAGCCTCCAACTCCTGTTGTACTGCCACCAGTCAGTCTCAACAAGTCCCTTCCCTATGATTCCCAAGAACCACATGAACTATGGGGGAAACTATGCCTAATGATGGCTAACCTTACTAGCGTATATGGAAGAGTGAATGGACAAATCCATATACATTGTATGGATTTGCTACAAATGAATGAGTTTTATAGACATGAAAATCTATCATAAGAAAAACTGGACATGGACTGGTAATCATGCAGGCAGGAATAATAACTGTTTACCTTTAGATTCAAATATAGCTGGTTTCTTGCGTGTGGTTTATGCATGTGCATGTAGTTGTTGCTGTGTATACAGGTGTATGTACACATGTATGTACATGTGTGTAGAAGCCAGAGGTTGATACCAGGCATCTTTCCTATCATCTTCCACCTGTATTTTTGACACAGTGTCTACCACTGTGCTTGGAGAAAAAAGACTTGACAAGACTAGATACGATGGCCAGCAGGCTCCTATGGTCCTATTGTCTTTGCCTCCCAGAGCTAGGGTTACAGGTATGTTATCATGCTTGTCTTTTTACACAGATGCTCAGAATCCATGTAAATTTGGGTGCCCATGCTTGCCCAACATGTGATTTACTGACTAAGCTGTCTCTACACCCACAAGTATCTTCTGTAGATTGCCCTGATTAAAGTCAGATGGGTCTGAAGCTAACCCACACAACTAACTCAGTAAATACTGGAGTTAGTACCTATTCACAGATAAGCTCTTTCTGTACTGAAAATGTACCTTATGCAGTTTGTCGGGGTTTTGTTTAAATTCTTATTTTTATTTTATATGTACAAGCGTTTTGTCTGCATGTATATCTGTGTACCATGTGTGTACAAGTGCCAGCAGAGGCCAGAAGAGAAGATGGCATCGTGTCTTCTGTAACTGGAGTCAACAGACAGCCGTGTGTGTGCTGGGAACAGAGCCTTGCGCCTCTGCCAGCGCATCGAGTGCTCTTCACTGCTGAGCCATCTCTCCAGCCTGAGTTTGTCATTTTTAATGAGCCACACAGTTACCTTTGTCCACTGCCACAGCACTCGGCCCACGGAGACTAAATTCCCAACCATCTCACAGATTTCAGGTTTGAACTTTCTACAGGGATCAAAGTATCCACAGCCAATAATTCCTGGGGAGAAAATAAGATGAAAGGCATCCAGTTTATTTAAAAAGGTCACGGGGCACATGCTTATTCTAATGAATAAATCCTTGAAAGACTGACTCCCTATCAGGGATTAGCGTTGTAAGTCAGAGTGGCCCAGCCATCCTTAGTGGCAATAGGTTATGCACTGACTTGTACTTAATCCTCCCAACAGCCATCCATAGATGGGACCCTAGTCTACATATATTTTATGTTGCGTTCTGGCATGAGATAGGGGCCCAATTTTAATGATTTTCCCATAAAAATTACTGTCCCTGCTTCTGTTGACTTTAAACTCTCCCCCTTTCCCTTCCTATCTCCTAGTGCCTGACACATCAAGCAATCATGCTAATATATTCTACATTTCATAATTTTTCATAGTACACGTTGTGGATGCCAAATTTGGTACCAATGGTCTTAATTTCGTTAACATTTCAAAGTACTAGTTATTACCGTTAACTTGTGGAGTGTATGAAAGAACTGTCACTCATCAGCCCAGATTTCCCTGATGGCCCACATGAGGACAAAACACAGAGCTTCCTTTAACACCCATATGCGTGCGTGCGTGCGTGCGTGCGTGCATGCGTGTGTGTGTGTGTGTGTGTGTGTGTGTGTGTGTGTGCGCGCGTGCGCACATGTGTGCACACGTGCACACGCGCCCACTGCCAGGTCAGAAGACAACCTCAGTTGTTGTTCCTCGGATGCTATACACCTTTTTCTAAGACAGAATTTCTCATTGGCCTGGAGCTTGCCAAAATGGCTATGCTGGCTGTCTAGCCAATCCCAGGGTTCTCCTGCCTCTATCTCCCCAGCACAGGGACTGCAAGTCTGTATTACCACATCTGGCTTTCTTAGTGGGGTTCTGAGGGATTGAACTCAGGCCAACATTTCACCAACCAAGCCACCTCTTCACCCCTCCCTCACTTCTTATGCCACTACAAGGTTCTTTCTAAGTATCTTTGAATCCTAGAACAGGCTAACAACCACCAGTCATCTTAATGTTGGTATTTAGCCGTTCATTTCAGATACATAACCCCCATCCCAGACAGACATTTTAGCTCTTAAGTAAATTTTTGCATGGTTTATATCCATTATGTGATGCAATAAAAAATTATGCATCTGGAGTACTCAAATACCGAAAATCTTGTCTATAGAAGTATTTGAAGGCAGCGTGCAATTAAACACGGTAAATTGTCTTTTTAAGCGCTGTGGGATATCGTTCCGGCCCCCTCCGGGATGAATCATGGCTGCTATGAGCTGCACATCGACGATGGTAGTGAAGTCTCCAGGTTTGTCCAAGCTATACATTCCCTCCATTTCCATCATCTGCCGCACAATCTCATTAGTTATCTGAAATTTCATACAGTAACATCTTTAAACACATCACTAATCGTCAACAACTCCTAAAAAAAAAAAATAGGACAGATTAGATGATCAGAAAACAGTCAACTCCTTTCATGGAGGTGTGTTTATGATTCTGACCATCACCTTCAAGGTAACATCTGGTATGAGTCCAGTGTGCCCTTCACCGTAATGATAAAACAAGTTTCCAAGTAAGTTTAGGTAGGTTGTGAGATCCCTGGTGCACTGGCAACAGCACTCAGAGTTACAAGTTTGACTACAGACACCTCCCACACTCATACACACACTTTATATCAGAACACACAGTGGTCTCGGGCCTGAGCCTTTGACACTATGAGCTACTCAACATTTTCGTTTGGAGGCTTCAGACTCTTCTCTGCAGCTCTTACTCTGTTAATGTGTCCTCCTTCTTAGAGGAAAAAAAAAAAATTCCTGGCCTTGGTTTCTGAGGCATGATTCTTTCCAGAATCCTCCGATGACTCTGGCTCACTCCCTAACCATGCTTTACCCCCACACACACTGCCATTTAACAGTTTTGCAGGGCTACCCTGACTTCTCATGATTCCAGCCACACCATCGGAACGCTGCATCCCCAAGAATTGCAAAGCTGTTACTCAGGCGTTAGCTTCCCTTCCATGCTCCAACTCTGTGTATTCAAATTCCTTTTGGGTATCTCCAAGGGGATGACACATAAGCACCCCCAATAGAACAGTCTTTCATCCAACCAGTATTCAACTGTGTGCCAGGCTCTCTTTATACACACACAAAAATCCATCTTCATGAAGCATGCATTCTTGTGGGAGACAAAAACGCACCAGTGTATGCTTATGTGCAAATAAAATAGTGTTACTATAAATGTTTCAGAGAAAATAAAGCAGGGAAAAGAAATACGGGGCTCCCAGGAGGGGTGCCTCAATGTGAAGAACAGCACGATTCCTGACAGGTTGAATGTGGGAGCAGTCGATTCCTGAATTACAGATCATCACCAAACAAGTTTGGGCTATTTCAAGTCTGAGCAGACACCTCTAGATGAGCAAGAGTTTAGACAGGACAATAAAGTCAGGCCAGGGATAAACATATCTCCACCTTTGAGAACTACTGAAGTCCTTCAGCCCTGAAGTAGAGCAAAAGAAAGCATGAAGAACCCTGAGGACGGCTCTCAGGGTGGGCACTGAGCTGCTAGTGGATCCTAGAGCAAGGGGACTTACAGAGCAGGGACAGGAATGAAGGGCCAGGCCTGGCGGACTCCAGCTAGATGGAGCTCATGAAGCTGTGTGTGTCACTGGGAGTGAATCAGGAACATATTGGATACTGGCCACATTGGGAATGTCCTCTAATGGGAAATGACTTGTACTGACAGATGACGGAACCTGGGACCACAATCTACAGTTGGAAGAGTGCCTTGAATGGGTGAGGTGTAGTGCTTTGTTTGGAATTGTTTAGCTAGGAGGTGGTCATGAGAGAGGGAGAGCAAGGATGAAACCTGTGGTGGGCTGAAGCAGAGAAGCCAGAAAGGGCATGAAATTGAGATGCCAAGTAGACATGTGGAGTCCTATCAAACCACAGACAGGTTCACAAAGGAGGAGTCCAAAGGTCTGAGAAATCACATGAGACTTAATATTCAGGTGGCTGATTTAAGGGAACACACTGGGCTGGAAGGCAGCTGAAAGGAGGCTTAGCAGATGAGCAGGCCTCTTTCAAGGGACCCACCTTGGATGACACACAATCTCCTGTAACTCCGGGGGACTTACATATCAGCTACAGAAAAGTCCTTAGGCATACCTGATCTCCCCACTCATTGATCACTGGCATATTGATGTCATCAATAAACACAGTCATCTTCCTCCCTCCTGGAGGCCCATAGGTGCTCCCCATCCTCTTATCCACGTAGCTTTCGATGGTTCGCTAGAGAAGAAAGGGAAATGACTTGTCACGTATGCTGGTTTTGAGTCCTGCAAGCTAACCATGCTTTCAAAACAAAACATAATTTACTGCTAGAACCTGTTAAGTTCAAGCATAATTATTAAATAGGCATCAGTTGAGTTTTTTAAAAAACAAGAGGTGGGGATATTAGCCATCAGCATACTAAAACTGATATGTTCCCAAGTCCAGCCTCAGATTCGATATTGAGCCAAAACACACTACTTGGATCTGGCTTCTAATTCAGTCACAAGAGAACAAACTTAAGTGTGGAGAGATGTCTTTGAGGAGTAGTTAGAAGTCTCTAATTTGAGGAGTAATTAGAAGTCTCACTGCTCTGGCAAACGATCATAGCACCCACATGGAAACTCACAAATGCCAGCTCTAGGAGATCTGGCACCCCCTTCTGGCCTCTTCAGGGTCCTGCATGCATATGGGGTACATAAACTCACACACACACACACACAAAAAAAATAAATAAATAAATAAATAAATAAATAAATAAATAAATGAATCTTTAAAAAAAAGAAAGAAAGGAAGGAAGGAAGGAAGGAAGAAAGAAAGAGAGAGAGAGAGAGAGAGAGAGAGAGAGAGAGAGAGAAAGAAAGAAAGAAAGAAAGAAAGAAAGAAAAGCAAACTGAGTTGATGCCAACTGCTAAACACTTGTCTGGGGAAACAGAGCACACTCATTATACAGGAACCACCACTTATTACCACAGCTAATGACAGGTTCTACCTGAAACATCATTGGTTCTGTGGCAGAGGAAAAATTTAGACTCTTGGATAGCTGTACTTCAGGGTCGTATTTCTTTAGATAGGCCTTCACCATCACAGTTTTCGCAGTCCCCTGCTCTCCCGTGAGCAAAACAGCCTGCAATTGTAGAAGAACTGTGCTGAAAGGTGCCAATAGTGCGTTTAGCACCAAACACCTTATGGCTCTGCGTGTGATGACTTGCCATTCTGGGAGTCCGGTCTATGCATTTTTTAAAATTGTTTTCTGCGGTCACACCTACATTCAGATCACTCCCAGTGATACTGAAGACTGAAATGGAAAGCACACACACCAATATCGAGGGGCTGAAAGAGGTATGGTTGCCTATCCACATGCCCATTGGGGTACAGAAGCTAGTCTGAAAGATGTCACCCACATTCCTCATAAGCTAAGGGGAGACAGAGAGGGACCACTCTGGAACCTGGAACCACTGTCAGAAGGTCTCTCTCCAGTGACACCTGCCAGGCCCTTGTGTTGAGTTTCATCTTTTCTATCTGTGCTATGTGTGAGGAAATATATCTTACATGGTTTGGGATCACCTAAGAGTTCACCACGCTTACTTTATGTTGTTTTGCAATTGTGTCTATCAAAAAATTGGTCCTGATGTTGTCAACGTTTGGAACCAAGATGGAAGAATACTCTGGAATGCTGTCCGTTGGATAAAAGTATGGTTGAAGTCTCTTGTTCCAGTGTTCCCAATCACCTACATGGTGGGTAGAATTTCATCTTAATCAAAATGTGTCCTTTAATGGTCACACAAAGCTATACAAATGCTAAGTATTAGAAACAACCACTTAGATCATGCAAAACACTAAAACGCTTTCCTAAAACATCGACACACCTACTTACCTGATGTTCCCTTTTCATTCTTGCCAACGTCTATTTATTACTCATGTATTCCTTTCGTGTATGTTTGCATTATGTGTGCATATGTATGCTTCTTCATGTGTGTGTGTGAATTCGGAGGTCAAGAAATAATCTCCAAAGTGACTTCCCCTCAGGTGTCATCCACTATGGATTTTTATGTTTATTTTGGATTGTTTTTAGACAGAATATCTCACTAGCCTAAGGCTCACCAATAAGGCTGGCCAGGCAGTGAGCACAAAAGATCCTCTTGCCTCCTCTTCCCCGGGGTCGGGATTGCATGCACATACACCACACCAGCTTTTCTACATCAGTTCTGGGGATGAACTAAGGTCCTCACACTGGCACGGTAAATATTTCACTGGCTGAGGTTGTCTCCCAGCCCACCAGTGGTAATTTATATCTTCTTATGTTTTTAACCTCTTAATACCTCTAATAACGGCTTTATCACTTTTATTGATCTTTACAATGAACCGCCTCTTGGTTCCATTTTTTTTTTTTCTATTGTACTTTCTATGTCATTGATTGCTGTTTTAATCAACACTCATTTTTCTGTTTACTTTGGGGTTAATTGAAACCTTTATTCTTTTGAGATATACACAGAGTGCTACAAAGTCTCCCTGTCCTGAATGTTTTACAGGCTAGAGTATTGCTGTAAATGTTTCTTTGCTCTTGAAAAGAAATTAAACTCTGTTTGTTAGAGAGTGGGCTGCTCCGCAACAGTCAGGTAGATACAAAAGCAAGGAGCCCGTACCTCGAACCACCTGTCTACCTCCTGAATTTGTTCCATGAATCAACTAGCTCAGTTTCACAGTCTGTGATTTGTCTTTCAGTTTCTGCTCTGTTCTGGCTCTTCCTCTCTATGCATGTCCCTCTGATGTGGCACTCTTAAAGCCCTAACCCAGCAGCTCCTCTGCATCAGTTCCTTCCTGCCTTGATGAGACTGGCAGTACTGGTTGGGTTCCCTAACACCTGCTAGAAGCCTCCTGTCAGGACTTGGTTCTCCTCCTGCTTTTGCCCCGTGTCTAAATGACTGTTAGAGGCTAAACCCAGACTGTAACTTCATCTGGCCTGGAAGCAGGGACTTCTAGATCTAAGAAAAAGAGTTTCTCCAAAAGTACTGATGTCCAGTGAACACACACACACACACACCCACACACACACACACACACACACACATTCATACACACACTCCCACCTATATACATACAGGCACATAAATGCATACACAAAAAAAACATGTATACACACATATACAGAGACAGACAGACAGACAGTCAGACAGACAGACACACACACACACACACACACACACACACATACACACACACACACACACTGAAAGATGTGCTAGTAACAAACCAAGAGCCCTTTATGAGCACCAAGTGACACTCAAGCATACAAACTTCATTCGACACTAACCATTTAGAGTGTTAAGACTACGGGGGGCCAATGAGAGGGCTCAGCCACTAAAGGAGCTTGCCACCAAGCCTGACAATTAGAGTTCAGTCCCCAGAACCACAGAGTGGGAGGAGAGAACCAACTCTCACAGGTTGTCTTCTGACCTCTACATGGTGCCTAGGGAACTCAGATGCTCTTCCTTCAGCCCTTTGTGGTGTCGGATGGGTGTGGCTGCCCAGCAGCAGCTTTGGAGAGGGACTTAGGAATTCTTTTTTCCTAAAGAGACTGAGAACCATCCCTCTGATTACTAGTTCCACCTCCTCGCTGATAGCACTTCCTGAGCCCTCTGGAGGTCCCAGGAGATGTACAACAAATTACTTCTCAACTAGGAGTTAGCTGCATCCTGCCTGCTAAATCAAAAGCCTTATACCTTCTGCTTTCTTGCTATCACAACTTTTTTTATTCTTGGCTTCCCTTCTGTTCTATTTATCCTTTTGAGTTTATGCATTCAACACAAAAACACTTTGGCTGTTCTGGAGGTTTGGGGAGGAAGCAGAGGTAAATATAGGAAGCAAGGGGGAAGGGTTTATCATTTTGTTCTCTCAGGGGCTTAGAAGAATTGAAGCCTGGTTCTGGACAAAAGCATCAAGTTGAAGGTATTTGCTTAAAGGAAAGGTGAGCCTGGCCTAGCCTGGAGGAACGTACTACACAGTATAGCCAGCCCAGCCTGCTCGGTCCGCTGTCTTCATTCTGACTTCGGCAACACACAGACTGCAGGACTCACCAGTTGTGTGTGTTTCCATGCTGCTCCCTAAGCATTAGGAAGCAGGCAATGTGCCAGGAATTGCTTCTCAAGGCAGATTTTACTTAGGCCACTCCAACTCAAGAAGTCAGAAAGGTCCCAGCTTCCAGCACAGCTAATACACAAAATCTCATCTCTGACATATTTTCACAGTGGTATTTGTAGTGATATTCCTACTTGGTTTAGTCCTCAACTCTTAGAAATTTACATCTTAAATTGTTTGAACTATAACTCAGTGCACTTACCAATATCAGAAACAAAGAACTCATACATGGTCTGATGGGTGTCCTTGGGAATTTCTGGCAGGTCTAACTTGCTTTTGTGACCCCGTAGAAAGAGTTCAAGTTTTTCTCTGCTCTCCAGTTCTAAAAGGGCTCCCAAACTCCACATGAGGCCAAACACAAACAGCTTATGGAGATGATCCATGGATGAGATGCCGCCTTCTTCTTTGGAGGGAATCAACCCTTCCAGGAGATTGAGAGACTGCGAGAGATTTCAAATAGGATCTTTTTTTTTTTTTCAATTTTAAAATTTTTGGGTTAAAATATTTGAAAGAAGAAAATGAAAATCAGGAGGGGAATGAAAAATAAAAAAAAAAAAAACAGAAATAGCTCAAGGCACTGCCTAATGCCTGTCTCACAGTCCCCAGTGTTAGAGGACAGACAAGGCTTCAGACAGGCTGAGTGACCGAAAGACATGATGTGAGCTGGGGACCCGAAAGTGTGAGTTTTACCTCATCCCTGCCAACTGGGGACCCGTAAGTGTGGGTTTTACTACTACTGAGTCTCTTTTTCCCAATCTGAAGAGGCAAAGGGTCTCCTCTAAATGTGTCCTAAGCTTGCTTCTGGTCCCAGAATTAGATTGCTAGGTTACAAAGTCACCCCTTCTCCTCTGGGAATTCAGCTTCTCAGAGCCCTCATACCCATACCATGAAAAGGTTTCCTAGACCCTAGGAACTTCCTACTCAAGATGCCCATAGGCAGTGGCTGAGTTTAAAGTAGTAGAGGCACAGACAAACCAAGTCTTACCTGCATGATGTAGTTACACTCCAGCAGCTGCATTTTGGGGTTGAGGGTGAGTTTCATGTATGTGTACGTTTCTTCAAAAGCCTTGTCATACAGACTCAAGAACACAGAGGCTTCCTGCTGCGTGCGCTTCTTCAACCATGCCTGGAGTCAAAAAGCAGTATCTGTGTTTACTCGACTGATAGAAAGGGCTTTGCCTTGCAAGCACAAAGACAAGAGTTCAATTTCTGGAACTCACATTAAAATAAATAAATAAATAAATAAATAAATAAATAAATAAATAAAAGCTAGGGGTGATGGCACATGCTTATGATTCCAGCACTGGGGAGGTGGGGATCCCTCAGGCAGATCCCTCAGATACTAGCCTACTTGACAAATTCCAGGCCATTGAGAGACACTGCCTCAAAAATAAAAGAAGTGTGGATGGCAGGATGGCTTGAGGGAAACACCCCAGGCTGTCTTCTGGCTCCCACGCGCGCAGGCGCGCGCGCACACCCACACACACACACCACGCACGCACGCACGCACGCATATACATAAGCAAAATGTAGCATGGTGGAGACATGTAGACTCCTGCCTGTTTCCAATCCCCCCATTTCCAGTCCCCACCTGCAATATGGGCCTCCAGTTGAGAGCTGAACTGCTGATATACACCATGCCCATCCTTGACACTGTCGCAGGAGAGGCGTTCTCAATGTTGTGCACCTCAAACACCAGCTTACAGTTAGGGGCCATGGGAATGCGGTCCCCGTTAGCCAGGGTGAGTGTCTTGTTATCGTCCAACACAGAGTTTAAATTCTCAATCCAAATGGCATCCACGGGGCCATCTAAGATGAGGAAGATGTTTTCCCCTGCAAACAAGGATGGAGAGTGGAGGGGGAGATAAATCGATGTTTCATTGATTGGCAAATAATTAAAAACAAGAAACTAAACAATCACTGTGCCATGACTTGCAGAGGAAGAGCAAACTGAGAGGGAGGCCCATGCGTACCCTTTTTAGCTTTTAGTGTCTTCCTCCATAGAGTGGAAAAGATTCCGTCTGTCCAGTCGTTGGTGGCTGTATCCAGTCTACCAAACATCTGGGGTGCAGTGATGGCCTTTGGATTCATCCGCATCTCTCTGTGAGGCCTCCCGCACTCTGTTAATGACTTCATCAGAATTGTGATGACAGCCGTCTTCCCGGAACCACTGGGCCCAAGAGTCATGAGGCCGTGCCGTACCAGCGAGGTCTCATACAACTACACCATCAAATGACACATAGAATATGAGGGTTATGAGACTATGGCTGGCATTCCTATGACTTAGCTGAAATTCCAAAGGCTTTAATTAGCATTCAAATGCTGTTGGTTTTACTGGACTTGGTAAGCAATCTGTCGTGTTAGAAACGACGTAAGGGATAAAGTAATGACAGCATGGGACTTGAATTATGTTTTGGAAATAATTCAGGATCAGCTCTCTGCTCCCTGGGCTCTGAGTGTGCCTGCAGTGTGGTGATGCCGCCCCCAAGTGGTGGAAAGCAGCAACGCAAAGCCTTCTGGGCCTCCAGAAGCACAGCTTGAATTTTTCAAGTATTAAGTGATATATTTAGGGGGTGTCCCCAGGGGATATAGAAAAGGGTGTGGAGTTAACAGTCAGGGGATGGGGTATCCTAGTAAGATGCAGTGGAGGACACCCCCAACAGGCAGACAAGAATGATCCTACCAGGAACACTCCATCTGGAATCAGAGGACTTGGCCTTTCCCTGTGCCCATCCATCCTTCCTTAAGGAGATGCTGGCACTTGGGAGTTGAGGCAATGAGTGCCCAGGCAATGCCTGCTCCTGTGCCCACACACAAAGTGGCTTCAGTCTTCCATTTGCTACTAGGAGCAGAAACATACAGAAACCGGGTACGTGGAAATGGGAGAAGGGACTGTGAACATAGCTCGGTCACAGGGGGCTCACCTAGCATACCCTTGGCTTTTGATACTTAGTATGTGTCGGGAGTGGTGGTGCACACCTGTGATCCCAGCACTCTAGAGACAGCAGCTGGAGGATCATGAGTTCAGAACCATCCTCAAGCACTTGGGAAGTTCTAAGCCAGACATCTAATATAGGTGAACTACAACATGTGCACGCACCAACATACCACACACACACACACACACACACACACACACACACTCACACACACACCACACACACACACATACACCACACACACACACACATACTCACACTACACACACCACACACATACACACACACACACACTCACACCACACACACCACACACACACACACACACACCCACACACCACACACACACACAAACACACACCACACACCCCCCACACACACACACACACCCACACACCACACACACACACAAACACACACCACACACCCCCCACACACACACACACACCCACACACCACACACACACACAAACACACACCACACACCCCCCACACACACACACACACCCACACACCACACACACACACAAACACACACCACACACCCCCCACACACACACACACACCCACACACCACACACACACACAAACACACACCACACACCCCCCACACACACACACACACACACACACACACACACACACACACGAACAACCCTGAGGTGTACGCTACTGCCTGAGCGACTAAAAGAAGCCAGCTGGGCTGTCACCTCCTGTCCCAACCGTTCTGAGGATCTGGTTACCATTGACCTTCTCATGAGGACTAAGTAATACCAGGGCTAAAGACTGCCAGATTTCATCAAGATAGAACAAATCCATTCTTTCTAAAACAAAAACATCACCTGAGGATTCCTCTTGTAATGATGGCTACCCGGCATTTTAATTCAGTGTCCACACTTAATATGGAGTAAGCTCTATCCAGCATCATGACCTGTGCTGCGTACTCGCTGTGGGGTTCAAAGGCCCTTACCTGCACTAATTTGAGGTTCCAGGGTGGGTGGTTAATCAGACCTTCCAGGTTGACCTGGTTGTCCACCGCAGCTTGCAGTTCTGCGTAAGTGCTACTGTCCAGCTGTAACCCTGGGAACAGGTCGTTGATCAAGCTGAGGAACAGGGGCTCGTCTTCATCAACCTAAAAGGGCATACAGTACCACAACAAGCACTGCTTAGCTAAGGAGGATATATACATGGTCCTTGCCACTTTATTCCCAGAGAATCACGGCCTAACTCCAAAGCAGGCCACCACTGAACCCACATGGCACTCAAAATTCCTTGGTGGGTGTTCTACAATCCAGCCTCGACCTGTGTTTCATCTCATTACTTTATCTGCCTCCCACCAGCTTGTATTCATGCTAATCTTAAAGTAGGCTATTTATAGTCCCACCACCATGGAAACAGAGTATCACTAGCTCACTTACAGCAGGGAACAGCCCTTACCCTCCATCGGGCAATGTCCTGCCTTTCCTTCTAAGGAGTGAGCTTGAGCAAGCTGACTCCCATTCTTGGTTTGCTGTGTCTTTAACACACAGATCGGCCAATTCCTAACTTTCAGTCCCTTCTCAATTTCTTCTGTCCTCTGAATCTCCCCTGATGCTTTTTGTTTTAAGATGTATTTTTATTTATGTGTCTGTATCTGTCTGTGGGTATGTGCACCTGAGTGCAGTGACCCACCAAGGCCATGGGTGCTAGAAACTGAAGTCAGATTCTCTGGAAGAGCAGCAAGTATTTTGTTTTTGTTTTTGTCTTTTTTGTTGTTTGATTTTTTTCAAGACAGGGTTTCTCTGTGTAGCTTTGGAGCCTATCCTGTCACTGGCTCTGTAGACCAGGCTGGCCTCGAACTCACAGAGATCCTCCTGCCTCTGCTTCCCGAGTGCTGAGATTAAAGGCATGTGCCATCGCCCTGCTTGCAGCAAGTGTTCTGAATCACTGAGCAACACACACACACACACACACACACACACACAGAGAGAGAGAGAGAGAGAGAGAGAGAGAGAGAGAGAGAGAGAGAGATGCTTTATTGATTGTTTCAAGAATAAGGAGCAGAGAACCTGGCATCAGATCAGAAAACTGGCTGACTAAGCTTAAGGCTGAGTCCCTGTCACCTCTCCAAGTTGCCCCACCCAAATGAATGACAGTAGGTTGTAGGGGATGTTGTAGCCATGCCTGCTTAGGGGCTGGCTACAGGTATGACTGGCCACGCCCGGGCTGGCTACAGGTGTGCCCTACAGTGGGTCAACCTGATGCTGAGAGGATCCGACAAAAAAAAAGTACATCCAAGGAGAATTTGCAAAAGCAATGAACTGTACAGATGCTCTTGGTTAGCTTAGAAACTCCTTTAATTTCCACATGAACACCTCATGTATCTATTTGGAAATTAAGAAGTTTATGTTTAGGACTAGAGAGATGGCTCAGCAGTTACAAGAACTCGCTGCTCTTCCAAGGAACATGGGTTGGTTCCCAGCACCCTCATCATCCAGCTCACAACTGCCCACAACTCCAGCTCCAGAGCATCTGATACCCTCTTCTGGCCCCTGTAGGCATACACACACAGATGCACACATGCACTCACACAGACACACAGAAACACACACAGACACACACACACACACACACAGAGACACACACACAGAGAGAGAGAGAGAGAGAGAGAGAGAGAGAGAGAGAGAGAGAGAGAGAGAGAGAGAGAGAGAGAGAGAGAGAGAGAGAGAGAGAGAGAGAGAGAGACAAATGAAAGAAACTAGTGTTTAGAGAGGAGATTTTGTGTTCTGCTAGTCACACAGAGGGGGGGGAGAGAGAGAGAGAGAGAGAGAGAGAGAGAGAGAGAGAGAGGATAATTCTCATGGTTCCTTGTGAATCCAGAGCTTCAGGCTTACCCGGGGGATAATGGTGGACACTGCACTGATGGGCTAGTGCAAAGACACGGTGGGCAAAGGCACTTGCTGACAAGCTGACAACCTGAATTCAGTCACTGAGACCCACACAGTAGAAGAAAAGTAACTCCCAAAAGTTGTCATCTGACCTCCACACTCATGTGTCACTTCATACATGCACTTGTACACATGCCCTCATACACACCACACACACACACACACACACACCACACTAATGTAATTTTTAAGCTTCTTAAGGGGGCAGGAGAAATGGCTCAGTGATTAAGAGCACTTGTTCTTGCAGAGGCCCACACAGTGGCTCACAACTACCTATAACTCCAGGTCCTCTGAGGGCACTGCACATACATGGTCACACATAAACATACACGCATTAATTATAAGGCCAATAAAATGGCCTTATAATCATAAATGAAAATTAAAATTCAAAAATAATTTTAAAGGAAACTAGATTGAAAATTTGGAGCAGAAGCCCTCTCTGCAACGGCCTGATTGACTATACGCAACTAACAAGGGGAAGCATTTTCATTGTGTGCTGACGAACTGCACCCATTATCTCCATGACGATTCGTGTTCAGAGCTCAACATGAGCAAAGTCCCCTTGACAGGTGAGCAGAAAGGGTCTTGGGGAGAGCTCAGGAATATTACCAATTTGGAAAGGTTCATGTCTCTTAGTCCTCGCATAACCGTGCTTAGTTCACTGTCCTCCGGACGGGCTCTTTTCTGAGATCCAAGGGTCCTCAGCACAGACAGGATATTTCTCAGTCCAAAGTCATAGTGGACCTATGATGGGAAAGGAAGAACAAAGACACTTCATTGAAAAATCCCAAATGCAGGATCACCCTGTACAGGTGGACAGATACCCTGCTGGCATTGCTGAGTGGCTACGCTATGGAGTGCTGGGAACACAATTCATCTCCCTTTCCTTTGGGTGAGAAAAGAACTGTTTCATCAGAAAAAGCAAGGTCACATGACAGGGTTCAAACCTCATGTCTCTTTTCAGAATAAGACAGCCAGATGCAGTCTGAGAGACACACAATAGCTTTTAAATGCTTAGCCTCTTGCAGAGGACCCAAGTTCAGGTTCCAGGCTCCACAGCTGGCAGCTTCCAGCCACCTGCAACTCTAGCTCAGATGGGTCTGATGCCCCTTCTGGCCTCTGTGGGCACCAGCATTTATGTGCACATACCCACACATACAAATACATACCAAAATAAGATAAAAATGCAAAGTGAAACAAAAACTTAAATTCTATACTTACGAAAATAGCAAGTATGCTGTTACCTGTTTAGTAAGTTGCTCTTCGCAGAGTTTATAGAGAACATAAAACTTTTGCGCCAAGATAACGTTTTCAAGAAAACCACAGCTTGCAAGTTTAACTCGCATAATGATCTGCAGATTGATACGGTGAGACATTTTAAAGCAGCTTTACTGGGAGAAAGAAGTAAACAACGTACATTACCCTTATAAGTCCGGATACATACCTGCCTGTCAGGAACCATCATTGCAACTGTTCTAAACAGGATTTTTAAGTTTTCTGGCAGTTCCTGGCGACCAGCATATCCAGGGTTCTAAGAGTTAAAATATATTTAATTTTAAATTATTGGTTCAATTCTTATTTCCTGGGTATAAATACATTCTCAGATTGTAAGGCAGTGCACAAAAATATTAAATATATAAAACATCCTTGCTTTCTCAAAAAAATGTATACTGGGCCATCCATATTTAATAGTGTTTCATATCATATCTTTTTAAATATATTCATTTTCAATTTATTATTAAAGCTACACACAGTTTTGCAAAAAATTAGGTATCTATGTGTCTGTTGGTTTAAAATATAGGAAAGGGAAAAACGGAGCTGAATAAATAGACCTGAGTAATTATGATCTAAAGTATGTTATTAAAAGAGAGGGGCTGGGCTGGAGAGATGGCTCAGAGGTTAAGAGCACTGACTGTTCTTCCAAAGGTCCTGAGTTCAATTCCCAGCAACCACATGGTGGCTCACAACCATCCGTTATGAGATCTGGTGCCCTCTTCTGGTGTGCAGATATACATGGAAGCAGAATGCTGTATACATAATAAATATTTTAAAAAAGAGAGAGAGATGGCTGAGTGGTTAGGGGCTCTGGCTGCTCTTGTAGAAAACCCAGGTTCGGTTCCAACCCCCCACATGGTGGCTTACAACTGTCTGTAACTCCAGTTCCAGTGAGAGACGCTGTTTCAAAGGGGATCAATACAGAAAGACTCCTGACAGTGACCTCTGGCCTCCACATGCCCATACATGGTCGCATGTGCAAGCATACATACATGCTCCTGCATACATAGTACACACAGCAGCTAGCTTCTCTTACTGGCTGTGTGACTGGAGCCCAAAACACCTCAGCTACAAGACATTTACCCAGAGGTCCTTGCAGCTCTAGGATGAGACAATGGGCATGTGACAGTCGTTGGTGTTACATCCTCCTCCCGCCTATGTAATCGCATTCACCTCTAGACCCCCTTGAAGGTAGACGTAGTTTGCCCCATGAGGCCTGTGTGTGTGTCCCTTCTGGATGGAAACTCTAAGCCAAGGCATGATTATTCATTTTCTCTGTGCTATGCCATCCAACAACAATGGAGACAATGACCACCTGATCAGTCTAATGCCTCAGGAAGAATGCACACAGTTGACCCTGGCCTCTTAGCCCCACCCTAGGAAACCCCTAGCAGACATGAGACATGAGAAAGAAAGATATCTTCATGGTTTTAGGAAACTCACACTTGCAAGCTCTGCTCTTATATTGTGCTGGAGTTAAGTTACCTGAACCTGAACCCAATTCAGGCCTCTTGTAAACCTGTAAACTTCAGCTCCAGGGTATTCGCCACGCCCTCTCCTGGCCTCTAGAGGCACATACACTCACAAAAAGATATCCACACACAGACACACATAACTAATTTAAAATAAGCCCTTTTTTAAAAAAATCCAAATTAAGAGAGAGTCAGAGACTTTTGGTTAATCTATCCTATAATACACAGACTCATCTATTCATATCTGTAACAATTAAACTCTTCAACTTGCATTTTAGGCATGTGTTCTCACCATTGTCAGGAAGATTCCAAATTCTGGATTTAAATCCACGCAGTCACCATCTGAGAAAATGAACTGTTTTTTCCTCTCTTTCCTCGCTGTCAAAACTATGTAAATTTGTTGGGCCGCCACAGATAAAACAGGCAATTCAATTCTGTTAAACTCATCAAAGCAACCCCAGGAACCCGACTGTGCGAGACCTGGCATGAGAAACGTTTAATTTGCAAAGTTTCACTTTTTGAGGCACCTTCTCAATAGCATTCAGTTCTCCAAAGTGTTCCCCAACAATTATGCCTAAACACAATTTATGTAAAGTTTCACGTCAGGCTGTTTATGAAGGCGTGTTTCCTCCTTGCTGTGGAAGAAGTTTAATTATTTGTATATCATCACCCAACACAGGGAGAACAGTACAGTGTCAAAAGGAAAGCATAAATACGACATGGTAGACAGATGCCCTAAGAGGTGATAAAATAGATCCTATCTGTAAAGACCACCTTCAGTGAGGATGGAGAGGAATGGCTCTCTAGTCTCCAGGGGGAAAGGCAGAATATGGGCTTCCTCTCGGTCAGGGCCGATCTCTCTGTTTTTCTTTTATTACAGTGAGATGGGAATGTCAGGCTGCAGGATGAGAAGGCCAGAGGGGTTTTATTTTTTGTTACAAAACCAAGCACAAAGATGGACCTGGAGAGCATGAACACTGTTCTTACCGATTCTCTAAGGAGGAAGCCTTCATCACCTGCAGCTGAATGAAACACTTTATTTCTGCCATCATTATTTGCCAAGTCCTCTCCTCTTCCCCTTGGGGACTCCCCCTCTAAGTATGTTGGGATGTTTATACCCTTAACATTCTTCTGTCAAGCCTTCCATCTCCTCATCTTTCTGTAACTCGAGAGGGTGATTATTTTTTCCTTGTAAATTGTAGTTCCATTCTCCTTGTGTCTCGATTGCTATGTTTTCCTAACAGACTGGTTTCTTCAGCAGGCTGAAGAATATAGTCTCAGATCTCTGGAAGCTATTAATTTCACTGAGTTTATTGAGTTTTCTTCTGTTTCCTCTTTAATTCAACTTAGCAGTCTTTATGTGCTCGCTCTCTCTCTCTCTCATTCTCTCTCTCTCTCTGGGGGGAGTGGGGGGGTGTATTCTTCTCTGAAACAAGGCCTCATGAGTTCCAGAGCTCACTTGAGCCCACTCTGTAGCCAAGACTGGCCTTGAACTCCTGACCCTCTGCCTCTACCCACTAAGTACTGGGATTACAGGTATGCACCACCACACACTGCTTATATGGTACTGAGGATCACACCCAGGGCTTCATGCCAGCTAGGCAATCACTCATCTGAGCCCTGTTTATCGTTCTTGGTACCATCCTAAGCTCTTCTGGTTATGTTGAGCTAATGGGTTTTTACTTCATTATGTCTTAACACAAATGCAAACTCCTGTTTGAGATGCTGGCCTCTGGTGCTTTGGAGGACAGGATAGGAGAGGCAGGAGAGCTCCCCTGGGCTTGGGACCTGCTACCTGACCTTTGTCAAGGCCCTATCTGGGGAAGTCTTCTGGCAGGACTCCTGTTCCTGTGCCACAAAGCCAGACTGAGCACTGACACTGACATACCCTTGGATGTGTTGTTTTTTTTTTCCTCAGTGTTATCTGCAATCATCTCTTCCCTACCTACCTTCTAAGATTTTTCTCAAGAACTCCCAATCTCTGAGGGACAGCCTGCTTCTTGCTTTCTAGTATAACTGTGATTTAAAAACAAGCAAACAAAATCACTTTCACTTGAGTGGGCTTTGGCACAGCAAATGGAAGTTGTATGTACTGATCTACTATGAAGACTAGCTCTTCCTCACTACTGCTTGGCCGTTACAAATTGACTGCCTTCAAATGCCAATACACATTCAGTGCACGCAGCATTGAATAACATGATCAAAAGTATTGAGCCACACTGAATTTATGCTATCTGGTCACTTCTAATCCAGAAAGATTGCTGTATCCTATAACCCAACGTAGCCTAATGATGATAGTGTCATTTTAGATTTACATCAGAAAATGTCAAGGGGCAATGAAAAACTAAATTCACCAAAACTATTAGATACTCACCTTTGAAAATCCTTCCCAGGCCTCGGAAATCCATCTGATCTGAGCAGTTGAACACAACCACATACTTCCCCAAGCACCTGCCCATGTCTTTGGTGGTTTCTGTTTTACCCGTCCCGGCCGGTCCTGCTGGAGCCCCGCCCATGTTCATTCCCAAAGCCTGAGCCAGCGTGATGTAACATCTGTAACACAGGAAAGAACAGGCCCAGTAGCTCAGAAGGGTCTGTCCAACACAGAGCTTGAACAGCCCAACAGAAGTGACATAGGAGACACCAAGGAGAAGCTGAAAACATGAAATGGGCCTGTTGTCATTTTACCTGGAAGTGGACTCAAGAAACACGTATGTCACCCAACATCCAATTTCAGTCAGTGCTACAGACATTTACTGAGTGCTTTCTAGGGATAGCATGCCAAACTGAGTGTGGTAGGGTGTATACAGATGGAAAAGATCCACACCTTGCCTGGGGACATGACCCACCATTGACTGAGACAGACTACGCCAACAAACTAAACTTTAAGTTCAGTTTCCACATCTGAGAACTGAGAGATTGACAGGCTGTGGTGACGCACTCCTATAATGCTCAGGAGGCAGAAGCAGGGGCATCAACGCCAGTTGAAGACCAGTCTGAGATACACAGCAAATTCCACGCCAACCAGGGCTGCATCATGAGACTTTATCTCAAGAAAACAAAACAAAACAAGCAGAGTGTGGTGATTTCCTTTCTTTACTCTCACTCCCCTGGAAGCAGAGGCAGGGGGATCACTGTGAGTTCCAGGTCAGTGTAGTCTACATAAGTGTCAGGTCAGCCAGGGGTACATAGTGAGGTCCTGTCTCAAAATAATAATAATAATAATAAAATAAATAAAAGAATAAAATCCAACAAAAACCCCAAACACAGGAGACTACATTAAACATTATCAAAGTTGCTTTTCCTTTTTGTTATGTTATTAACTTCCTTTATGGTTTCAGGGCATTTTTCCCTCCCACAATCTCACAATCATTATTAAATTACTCAAAGCAAACATTCAATCTTGATTTTATTCTTTCATCTGTTTCTACTTCATAAAACATTAATGTGTGTGTTCATGTAAGCAACAGTGAGGGTTATTTCATTGTTAGGCTACCTTTAATGACCCAGCACAGACCCAAGATGACAGAAACATGAGTTTATATTTCTGTGTGTGTGTGTGTGTGTGTGTGTGTGTGTGTGTGTGTTTAAGGCAGTCTAAGCATGTCCAAGTGTATCCACAAGTGCGGGGTTTCCTACCTATCTGTTAACGGGGTAATCACGAGGCGATCCGTGCATCCCAGAAATTCGTTTTGGTAAATGAAATCAACATCTGTGATCGACACCACAGTCTGATCCAAATCTTCTTTGAAATAGAACCTGCTCTGTTTCAGCCATTCAAAGTCAGTAACAGACTTGATGTGCATTTTCACCTCAAAAACACAAAACAGGGAAAGTTACAAACTGACTTGCAACAACCTAAAGCATAGGCATATGGGTAATTCCAAGTCACTCATGAGCTAGCTAGTCTCCATTTAACAGTATTTATCCCTGGCCTTCTTGTGCTGACACCACGTTGGATGAACATAGAGAAATACAATTGTCTGCTTTCTGGAGCTTGCCAAAAATGTGGGAGTGGGGCCAAGTCAAGAAATTTCAATGAAATACAAACCATACTGCTAAAGAAAGTCAAGGGAGGCTGCTACACAATTAAGAGCACTTGCTGCTCTTGCCAAGGACTCAGGTTCAGTTCCCAACATACACACACACACACACACACACACACACACACACTTGCATACATGCATGCACAAAAAAAATTCAAGGCCTGTGGAAAATATACAGCAATAGGACCTAACCTGGTCTAGGAAGTCAGAGAAGGGTAGTTGGAGGAAAACATATCTGAACTAAAACCAGTCCAAACAATAGAAATATGGCAGGGAAAGCATGCTCAGTAACCGAAAAGTGTCCAGTATGGCTGAGGCCTAGGCCTTACTGTCCATGAGGTCGCTTCTGGGTCATTCCAGGTCATTCCAGATGACACTAGAACAGGACTTCTGAAAACATCTAGTGTCTGGATGCCCACCTGGCGGGGCATCACTCTGCCCCGGGCATCCCTAAGCCTTGCTATTCACAGTCTTTCTGCTTTGTAGCATGACCACGCTTTCCCCTCCAGCTTGGGATTCTAATTTCCCTCCCAAAACTGTTTGTATTCACCACATTAGATCATCTGCTCTTGGATAACATAGCCTGGATCCAGCCCCAGAGACAGTGTCCCCAGATTCAGGAGCCACAGTCACCGAGATGCAGTCAGCCAGGAATGTTCGACAACCCATTAAGATTCTAAGAATGGGGTGGAGTGGGCAGCCAGCGTAGACACCAAGTCCTTGTGGCGTATTTTCATAGAGTGTAAGAATCAGACAGGTAAGAGGCATACGTACTGGCCGTGCCGCAGTTAGTTAGGATGCAAACTGACTGGGAGGCCGGCTGTGGTGAGGGCACAGGCAAACCGTTTCACAGTTCTCACTGTGCCCCACTTTCCTTCTGTTCTGGTCGGCTATGTGTTTGTGGTGCTGGGAGTGAACCCGGGGATTCCCATAGGCTGAGCGATCATTCTGCCACTGAGCTTAGTGCCCAGCCAGGTTTCCTATCTTGTCCTTAAAACAAAACAAATCCATCCTGTACAGAAAACAAAGCAGCCTTCCTCGGCACTGAGTTTTAAAATAAATGTCTTCCATGGGGCTTCTACATCAGTCAGGGCTGTACAGACACTCTCAAGGGTGTGTTCATGGCAGATACAAAAACAGATTCCACACCAGCATTCCTGGGGAAGATTTCCTTGAATGACAGCCTGAGTGTGAGAGGCCAAAACAAATGCCAAATCATGATTAGTCTGAGCTGGAGAAAATCTGATTGCAGGGGTGTGTGTGTGTGTGTGTGTGTGTGTGTGTGTGTGTGTGTCTGCAGGTGCCCACAGAGGCTACAGAATCAAGTCTCCTTGAACTGGAGTTCCAGGTGGTTGCAAGCCTCCTAATGTGGGTGCTGGGGACCACATCCATGTCCTCTGAAAGAGCAGCAAGTGCTCTTAACCACTGAGCTGTCTCTCTAGCCCCTTTCCCCATACCTTTACATGCTCTAGAATCACCCAGGAATCTGACTTTGATCCTGCAGCTAGAGGTGGGCCAGAACTAAAGATTCTGTGTTCTAGTAAGCTTCCAGGTGAACCAATGCAAGTTATCAGCATATAATGTCTTGAAAAATGAGAGTGTGGATTGTAAGGGGATCAACGGGCTGGTCGAATGTCGTCCTCTTTATCATGGGTGTATATGACTTATATAAGCAGATCTTTGGGTACAAGTTTGAAACAGGTGGTCTATGATCAACTTCTTGACAAAAGTCCCCAAGCTGCCTGGCTTATGTGTCTGCAGTGAAGGAGGGCGCTACCTTTAAAGGTGAATCAAACTGAGTAGAGAGCAGTAGCTGGGACCAAGAACGTCAAAAGGCAGGATAAGAAAACCACCAAGGTCTCCTGTCCTGTGGTGATAGTGCTGTCAGTGTGACAGGCTCTAGAGTCACCTGGGAGAGGGGCCTCTGGTCATGCCTGGTAGGGAATCTTGATTATATTGAGGTGGGACAGACCACCTACCGCACATAGCACCATTCCCTGACTGGAATCTTAAGACTGTGTACATAGAGAAAGGAAGCTGTGGTGGTTGGTTTGAATAAGAGATGTCCCCCATAGAACCACGTATTTTAGTGCTTGTTCCCCAGTTGGGGTGCTGTTTTAGGAAGCTATGGAACCCTTAATGGGTGACTCGTTGCTGGAAGTCTATGTTGGGAGTAGGGCTTACCGATTTATAGCCTTTGCCCTACTCCCTGTTCTCTCTCCTCCTCTCTCTCTCTCTCTCTCTCTCTCTCTCTCTCTCTCTCTCTCTCTCTCTCTGCTTCCTGCCTAGGGACGAGATGTGATCAACTAGCATCCTTCTCCTACGGCCATGCCACGCCATCCCTGCCATTACATACTCTAACTGTAAGCTGATATAAACCCCGTCACCCTCTTAGCTCTTAGCCATGAAATTTTGTCACAGCAACAGAGAAGCAAGTAGCACAGGAGCTAAGCAGCAGCATGTATTCACCGTCTTCTGCTTCCTGCTTGTGGATGACATGTGACCAGCTACCTTGAGCTCCTCCTGCCTGACGTCCTTGGGATGATGGACTGTGCCTGCCTTGAACCATGAGCCAAAGCGAGCTCTCCACTAACTTGATTTGCAACAGAAAAAGAAACAGAGAACCTGGGGGTTCCAATTTTAGAAGACTCAGACCAGATCCAAAGCCATAATCAAAGTCCTATTTCCAAGGGGAACAAGTACACTCATCATACTACTCCCTCCCTATAGACTCTTCCCAGCCAAGTCCTATTGGATGCTAACAACTAGACAACCAGACAACAGTCATGCACAGTCACTAAGGCTTGTTTCCACTCAACTAGAAGTTGTTCTCCTTTCTCAACTGGCCCACCACAGCTCATGACCTGTCCATGACTCAACTAAGCCATGCACTTGGGTGTTTGTTTAATAGAGACACTAATTCTGAAGAAACCAATTGGTTCTAGACTTTCAAAAATAGTACATGAAAAAAAAATAACTATGTTCTCTTTTACAACAAGTGTATCCTGCATCCTTTTGCCTGTATTCTGACTTTCCTCATCTAGTAATACTTTACCATAAACTCTTTTCTAAGTGCTACACTGTACTAAAAGATAATTGTTTTCCTGGTTTCAATTATGACAGTGTTTGTTCCGTGTGTGTATGTATATGTGTTAGATAAGTCCATAAAAGAACATAACTGATAGTCAAAGTTTAAAACCCTAAGCGAGACTCTCAGGTCAAAATGACGGGCAGACCTGCTGTTGCAGCTTCAAGCAAGTGACTGGATGGTTTTTGAAAATGGTATTATAACGATGCAGGCTTCAACAAGCTGGATTCAGTGAAAGACAATATAATTTTTGAAAGAAACCATAAGAAGTCTTTTGAGAATATGATAACAGGATCTTTTGAATTAAGAGAGCCCGGGATCTGACCATGAGGCATCAGACCTTGCCCATGGAGCAGTGAACAAAATCTGAGGAGGACAAATTCTAGCTGGAACCCTATCTGAAAGAGGTTATTCAAGAAAGGAAAAGTGGTCTTGTAGTTGAGGTCTGTGTATGTGCCCAGTCTCAGCATATTTTTATGAAGTTGTTTCAACCTGAATCACAGTCTAAGAGTCTAAGAGTTGCTCTGCAGATGCCTCGATTTAAATAAATGTCTGTTGTAACCATAAAAAATTGAAAATAAAAATAAAAAATAAAAAACCTAAGCAAAGTTCCATGGCTTCACAATGGTCTTTCTACCTATATAGAAGTAGTTCAGGAGAGCTCATGTAAGTCCGCCATTCTGGATAACATTTAACTGCTCACTGTTAGCTACTACACTAAATTCCCATGACAAGGGAGGGGAGGGTGTGGGGAATTATTTACCAAGTCATCAAAAATATCTCTCTGGTGCACGTGGATGGTAATCAAAGTCTCAAACTTCACTCGGTCAAACTTGGTCAGGTCGTGCGTCGTCTGACTGATAAGAGTATTTAGGATATCCAGAAATTTCTGATTGGTTATCTGCATGATTTTCCTGTCATCCTTTGCATTATTTAAAGCCTCTTCTGAGTCGTGTGTCCACAACATCTGAATTCCCAGAAGCCCAACCTGCAGACACATGAGTAGGGCACAAGTGCACTTAATTTCGGTTGTCATTTATTCAAATGAAGTAAACAGGGTTGGTTTTTTTTTTAAGTTTTTTGTTTGTTTTGTTTTGTTTTTCGAGACAGGGTTTCTCAGTGTAGTTTTGGAGCCTATCCTGGTACTCTCTGGAGACCAGGCTGGCCTCAAACTCACAGAGTTTGGTTCTGCCTCCTGAATGCTGGGATTAAAGGCACTCGACAACAGCACCCAGCTTTTTTTAAGCCTTAAGTAGTAATTTATGTGTGTGTGTGTATGTGTACACACACATAAAAATATTCTTGGAGGAAATACAATAAAATATAGCCAGCATTTCTGAGCCACATAAATATAAGTAATTTTTATCACTACTTTTGTAGTTTTCAAATTTTCCAAGGTTTTAATAGCAATGATCCACTGCATTCATAATCTTTAAAAATACATCCTAAGGGAAAGCAGAGGTGAAGTATTAGACAATTTTTTAAATTAACTTGATAGCAGACAGATTTCAGTTATTTGAAAAGATTGCTTTAAAGGAATAATATACACATACACTAAGAGAAATCTGGGAAGCCACCCAGGCTTTCCATTATGTCGTGTTCAATTCCTGCACGGCTCCAGACCAGCTCCTCATGCTCTTCCTAATGCCAACGCCCAGTCTGCTTGAGACTTGAGGACACTCAGTGGTCTGCGCCTTCCTTGTCTCACCTTAACCCCAAGAAGCCCATTTTTTTTTCAGCTTACCAAGGAAAATTTGTTTTTAATCTTTAACAAGAACATTAGGAAATTTCAAGGCAACTACAAAACATTAAAACTGCAGCATTAAAATCATCTCTGCAGTGGAGGCTGATGCTTGTCTGTGCATACACAGCCTGAATAAATAATGTCCAATCATCTTTAGCTGTCTCAAAAGTGTGCTCATTAATTTGGGAACTAATTGGTGTTCAGGCTGGGGCAGGAAACATAGTCCGTCCCCCCCCCCCAGCCTTGGGAATCTCTTCTAGTTCATGCTACTTATTATGAAGAGACTGAAGACCACTCTTCATTTATCCTGGGTGAGATTTTAATGGACGTGTCAGCTCCTTATTCCTTAGACTGGGGGTTAATGGTACTCAACATATCACAAGGAGCTTGGAGAGACATGGGACAGGAGAACTGTAGGCAACAACGCCCATTCCCACCCTGACAAGATGGGTTCATGTCAGGAAAATGTATGGTGGATTTCCACTATGCATGTCTACATCTATGACTCTTCCCATGTCCTATCTCTATAAAGTGACACACACACACACACACACACACACACACACACACACACACACACACCTACAACAGTGGTTCTCAGCCACCCGTGATGCTGCAACTGCTGTGGAGCAATCTTTTTGTACACTGTGAAGATGTGTCACTCGGGTTGGTTTAATAAAAAGCCAACAGCTAGGCAGGATTTGTAGGGCAGAGAGGAGGCTGGGAAGAAAAAGGGAGGAGTTGCAAGGAGATGCCAGGGATGCAGAGCAAGCAGCAAAGGTAATGACAGAGCCATGTAAAAGAGCATAGATTAAAAGAAATGGGTTCATTTAAGTGATAATAACTAGTCAGAAACAAGCCTAAACTATCGGCCAAGCTTTCATAATTAATAAGAAGTGTCCATGTCATTATTGGGGAGCCGATTGTCCTGAAGAAAAGGTCCAAATACATATGACCCTTTAATATAGTTCTTCAAGTTGTGGATAAAATTATTTTTGTTTCTACTTTACAACTGTAATTTTGCTATTTTGGGGGGGGGGTTCGAGACAGGGGTTCTCTACGGCTTTGGAGGCTGTCCAGGAACTCACTCTGGAGACCAGGCTGGACTCGAACTCACAGAGATCTGCCTCTCTCTGCTTCCTGAGTGCTGGGATTAAAGGCCTGCGCCACCACCGCCCAGCAATTTTGCTATTGCTATGAATCACAATGTAAATGTCTGATATGCAACTCTCCCAAAGGGGTCAAGACCCACAGTTTGAGAAACATTGATCTATAAGCTATAATTTTCCATTTTCTGTTTGAGTCTTGGTATATGTCCTTAAAAATGAGAGGCCGAGTGAGGTGGCTCACGCCTTCAATCCCAGCACTCGGGAGGGAAAGGCAAGCAGATCTCTCTGAGATCCAGGCCAGCCTGGTCTACAGGGTCAGTTCCAGGACAGCCAGGGCTACACAGAGAAACCCTGTCTTAAAAAAGAAAAATGAGAGGAAGTGAGTTGGCATGGTATGGGTGGGGTAAACTTGAGGGTGAGCAGAACTTCAGCAGCCTCCACACTACCAGGCTGAGCACAGCCCCACCCCCACCCCACATCTTCCCATCATCAGTAAACAGTGTGACCTCCTCACCTGCGCTGGGAAGTGGTGGAGGAAAGGTAACAGGAGAAATCCTGAATCGCTGATCTGATAGAAGGCAGACCGGATTATATTATGTAACGATGACATCTGGACTTTTAGCAAGTCCAGAAGCCAAATCTCTACAGGACCTTTGGCCATAACCGGTGTATCCAACTAAAAAATAATCATAAACATGTTACAAATACTAACATGGCATTTTAACAGTTTGTGTCACACTTGATAAATCCCAGCACTATGACAGAACAAGCTCCTCCATAGTTCACATCAAATATTTACTGGCTTTTTCTGTGTGAGGATTGCATACACATGTGCGGTTCTGTGTATTTAAATGAGTGCACCCATGCATGCGTAGGGGTTTTTCTGTGTGAAGACTGCATACACATGTGCGGTTCTGTGTATTTGAATAAGTGCACCCATGCATGCGTAGCGGGCTCAGCTTTGCATCTCATTTTTATCCCCCTCCCCATACGTGTGTGCGTGTGCACTACAAGCATGTGGGTGTCTAAGGAGGCCAGAAGAGTGTACTGGGTCTTCTGGAACTGGAGTTACAGGCAGTTGTAATCTGCTTGATATGGGTGCCGGGAACCAAACTCAGATCCTGTGGGACAGCAACAAACACTCTTAACCACTGAGCCACCTTCTCCAGCTCTCTATGCAAAATACTGAAAACACGGATGAAATAAGTTAAAAATATGACTAGAAGAGACTATAGAGATCATGTAGTCTTAACACTAATGTCACTGGGGATAAAATGAGTCTCAGAGAAGTTAAAGTGATTCATCTATACTAATTCATAACTAAAGCTAGAGCTATAGAATTAGAACCCAGGGTTACTCGCCCTACTCCCAACAGCCCTTCTTGTTCATAAGCGAATTGTATTCTCTTCGACCTAAGTTTTCAAGGAAATCCTACTAACATTTTTTAAATAAATTACCATGATTTTTTCTCCTTCTCTGGATATAACAGCCATCATTCGATCATAGTCTTTTGCATGAAATGTCACCTCGTTTATGTTGTCAGACACAGCAGGGAGATGTGGCTAAAAAAGACACAAGGCAGAGGTAAAACATCATACCTGGTGCCAGACACATCAGCCACTGAGATGCCTTTTAAAGCCTTAAGAAGCTGGAGAGATGGCTCAACAGCTTAAGACCATTTCCTGCCCTTCCACAGGACCCAAGATCAGTTCCTAGCATCCATACTGGGCAGCTCACAACAGCCTGTAACTCCAGCTCCAGGGGCCCTGATGCCCTCTTCTGGCCTCCACAGATACTGCACCCATGTGTGCACACACACACACAAAAATATAAACAAGATCTTTTTAAAGCATAAAACCTTAGTATTCGCTGGGCATTGGTGGCGCATGCCTTTAGTCCCAGCACTCGGGAGGCAGAGGCAGGTGGATCTCTGTGAGTTCGAGGCCAGCCTGGTCTCCAGAGCGAGTGCCAGGATAGGCTCCAAAGCTACACAGAGAAACCCTGTCTCGAAAAACAAAACAAAACAAAACAAAACAAAACAAAAACCTTAGTATTCTTTGTCTTCATGACACACAAGAGAATTTACTTTCTTGGCTCAAAACTAAAATCAAGTTGCGGGGAGGGGAGAACAGTGGCACAGACTACTACAACCCTTGATTAAAGGCCCAGTGTTTACTGGGAACAACTGAGATTATCTTGGAACTCACTACACAGTCCAGGCTGATCCTGAACTCTGCTCCTCTTGTCTCAGCCTCCTGAACTCTAGGATTAAGCGTGTATACCATGACAAATGCTTTCAATCCACTTTTTAAAATCCTATGATGTTGTCTCTTCAGTCCAGCAACTGTCACTTCTTTACAGACTGGCTCAGTGACGGTCCCTTTGTGCTCTCCAGATGGAGACTGAACCATAACATCCCAGCCTGCTTCCCTCCCAGGTACAGGTCCCTCTCAGATTCTCTCAACCGTCTTCTCTTTTCACAGTTCTTCCATGTTAGGGCTAAAGAAACCGAGACACTAGAAAACCAGGAGCTTGGCGAGGTCACGTGGTTAGTGAATGGAAGTGCTGCACACCACGTTCACTGGACTGTGTGAGGCCAATGGGCTCTAAGTTCATACAAAGTAAGATTTTATCATCATAGTGTGGGGGGGGGACATTCATATAGTATGCATGTGTGCTATAGGGGGTACTCCGAATATTAAGTGTAACTATTGCATGTCATTCCTCAAGCACTATCTACCTTCTTTGGTGAAGCAGAGCCTGGAATTCACTGAGTCACCCAGGCTAGCTAGCTAGAGAACCTAGGGGTCTACCCATTTCTGCCTCCACGGTGCTAGTATTAGAAGCATACACCACTGTTCCCAGGACTTTTTTTTTTTAAAAAAAAAATGTAGTTTCTGGGTATTGAACTTGGGCCCTCACGTTTGTATGGCAAGCCACCTTACCAACTGAGCCATCCATTCCCAGCTGTATCACCACGACTTTGGATGCTCATCCTTCTTGCTTTGCACTGAGAGGATGATAACCCTATTTCTGCTCTTGTTGGCATATCCCATGGACAAAGCGACTTAAGCCCAGGATGTTCGGGTCATACCTGTATGGTGTGGGAGTCACTGGCCTGTCCAAGGATTTCCAGCAGAACCGGGTCAGAGACAAAGAAGAATCTCGGAAAGAGCAATCGCTTCTTCTCCAAATACCTTCAAACAAGTCAACAGCGTCTTACTGAGTATCTTACCTTTGGTGTTTTTTTCTAACTTAATTACTTTTATTTCATGTGCATTGGTACTTTGCCTGTGTGCATGTCTGTGTGAGGGTGTCGGATCCCTTGGAACCTGAGCTACAGACAGTTGTGAGCTGCCAACTGGGTGCTGGGAATCGAACCTGGGTCCTCTGGAAGAGCAGCCAGAGCTCTTAACCACTGAACCATCTCTCCAGCCCCCGTTTAGGTGTTTGTTTGTTTGTTTGTTTGTTTGTTTTAGCCAGTAAGAGAATAGCAAAGACCAACAGCCATTTCCCAATGGCCTCTGGGATATGTGGTAAGAACAGAAGTCCAGCTGGGAAGGCACCTAGAGGAAACAATATGGCTTCAAAATGATAAAGGGAGGGAGCAAAGTCACTTATCATCTGTCACCACCATCTTTCTCATCGGGGGCCCTCCTATGAACCTTTGGCAGAGTATTGGGCACTTCATGGGTTAAATTTGGAATGGAATTATCTCCAACCCAGGGCATTCTGAGGATGAAATGGAGGCCACCTATCCATGAAGCAGGAGCAGAGGGACAAACCTGGCCGAACCAGGATGTATCATCACCATATTCTAAACAGAAATTAAGAATCAATTCTGCTTTCATTTTAAAAAGCTTCTAGAAATGTCTTTGGGGGGGAAAGTAGTCAAGCATTGTCTGGCCAGCTCTTCTCTACTCAAATCCCAGTTTGTGGAGACTGGCACACAGCCCTAGGACGCTCACCCTGTGAGGGACTTCTGGCAGACTTCCAACTGCTCGTGTAAGTGAGGCAAGAGTTGCCCCATTGTCTCATCTCCCACGCAGCAGCTGATCACATTGGGGTTCTCGTGAGCTCGCTGCATGATTTTGATCCAGGACTTGTCAATATTCTGGAACCGTTTGGCTTCCTAAAAACAAACCGGCAGTTGGGTGAAGATTAGCATCCAGATAACTGAACTGAGCAAGCACTTCACTTCATAATTCCTTCCAGCCTTTCAAACACATCCTGCATCCGTTCATCTCAGGCTCCATCATTTAAAAAAAACAAAACAAAACTTTTTTTTTCTCTTCATCTGAATTAATTCTGAAGAACGAGACCCAGAACCTGTAAAGCCGCTCATTAAAATGCTACTTGATCGCAGTGGGCTTTCCCACTTATTTGTTTCCTTGCGTCTAATATAGTTTTGAAGTGCCACATGCTTAATTCACAGAGCTATCGACTTAAAGTTCAAATCTAGTCCTTCGGCACCCCAGGTGTTTTGGTTTGATGAGTAAACTGAAGAGGCAACGAAGATAATTTGATCTCAGAATCCTTGGAATAATCACAGTCCCACATCACCTCAGGGGAAAGGGAAGGGGGAGGAGGAGACACTGAAATCACAAGACAAAGCTTCATTTACATACTTGCAAATAAAAATTTCCCTAGTACTGTAGATGATATTAAGTTTTTCGTTCGATTGCAAAAATGCCCCTGGAAACTGGCATAATTTTGTCTCTTTTTAAAGTACCATTTCTTTAATTAAAGAATAGACTTTAGTATTAGGCCCTAAAACAAAACTTGTTGCAAAGAGAACTGAGCCATTTTCATGCTTTTTATCCTTGATTTATAATCTGCATAGATCCTGTCTATAAACAGACAAATTTAGGATGAGCTGGATTAATTGTGTAAGAGGAAAGTTACCTTAAAAGTAAACTACTTGTTATTGACTTTTTTTGAGACCTGTTCTCACGAGGCCTACAGCTTCAAGGGTGACCTTGGATTTCTTATCCTATTGCCTTCATTTCCTACACACTGGGACGGCACCACCACACACGGTTTATGTGCTACTGGGAACTGAACCCAGAGCTTCATGAGGGTTTGGCAAACACTATCCTAACAGAGCTGCATCCTCAGCCTATTTAAAAGGCTCTAAGTAGAGATGTTCCAAAACATTTTTCCAAAACTGTCTTTTTTCCAAACTGTATATCCCTGACCTACTAGTAGTGGGTTTACTAATAGTAAATCTGTGTTTAATTGAACATAGATAAATTTTAATGCTATTATTCTCAGAGGATTAGTGCAAGATATGAAAAAAATGTTTGACGGTATTGGATTTGAATGTATGCTAACTCGATCTCAAGACTTCACCATTTGAAACTACAGATTTTCTTTCTACTAGTGTAAATTAGAAATTGGTACCCTGGGTTGTCTGTGTTCTGATAAAATTTTATTTTTAATTTTAACTAGGAGTACATAGGGTACGAGTGACTAGAGAAGCTAGACAAGGACATGGAGTCCCCCTGGAGCTGGAGTAACAGGCAGTTGTGAACCACCTGATACAGGTGCTAGGAACTGAACTCAGATCTTCTGCAAGAGTGGTAGTTGCTCAAACCTAAAACTTTATTTTTAAACAAGTGTCCAGGCCATAGCTAGCCAACTGCTGACACAATTCGTCAAGACTTGACTACATGAACCAGAGAGATGGTCAGTTCATAAAGATGCCTGATACCAAGAGGATGGTGTGGGTTCAGTCCCCAGGACCCACATGGTAGAAGTAGAGAACTGTCTCACACAGGTTATCTCCATATGGGTAGCATGTCATATGTGTATGCACACACATTTATATATACAAACACAAAAAAATAAAATGTAAAAAAAAATTAAGACTTGACCATATATATTTGGAAAGATTCTCACAAAGACATAGATGACACCAAGTATTTTTTTTTCTAATAGTAATAGGGATTGGGGCTTGGAGAGATGGCTCAATGGCTAAGAGCACTGGCTGCTTTTCCAGAGGACCTGGGTTCAATTCCCAGGACCCACATTGCAGTTCACAACTGTCTGTAACTACAGTTCCCTGGGATCTGACACTTTCACACCAATAAAGCTAAAGTTATTTTTTAAAAATAGTAACAGGGGCTGGAGAGATGGCTCAGTGGTTAACAGCAGTGGCTGCTCTTCAAGAGGACCCTGGTTTCTATTCCCAGCACCCACATGGCAGCTCACACCTGTCTATAACTCCAGTTCCAGGGGATCTGGTATCCTTACACCAATGCACATAAAATAAAGTTAAATAAAGTATTTAAAAAAAACAGTAACAGGGATTGAACCTAGGGTTTCATGAATGCTAGGCCAGCACTGTACCACTGAGCTATGCTCCCAGGCCTCTTTTTAACTTTCATTCTGGGAAGGGTCTTACGAAGGAGCCCAGGAAGGTCTTAAACTTACAATTCCCCTGCCTCACTCACCGGCTGGCACCACCAGGTCCAGCTCACCAAATAATTCTAGACGTAACTGCAAACACTGTGCTTACCTGAGGCAGCTGCTTAGCGATGTCCCCGCCTACAAAGACGGCTTCAAGGTAGACCCACAGATTCTGTACCACCAGCCACTCCTCAATGATGTCCGAGGAGGTGGACAACTTATACACCCAATTCTGAATATTCTTTTTGAATGGAGCATTATATCTAAAAAGGAAGGGTATGAAACATTTCCAGCCGCTGTGAGGACGGTCTGTCGCTGGTGCTAGGGTAGGATTTGCAGACATATTTGGTGCTTCACAGATACCTGGGAGAAGAGTCTCCCCAATAAAGAACGTCTCAAATAACTGTGTACTCCCTAGCAGGGCCATGGAAACTGAACTCTCTTCCCAGAGAACTGTGAAAACATTGAGTTTTGTGGGATCATAAGTATATTTTACCAGGTTATGTACAAGTATAAGATTCAAGGATTCATATCCAATGCCCTCATCTAGCTTCCTTGTGTACCTGCACACATGTGACATGTACACAAATACACACAGGTGCACATATATTTAAAAAAGAGAGAGAGAGAGAAAGAAAGAAAGAAAGAAAGAAAGAAAGAAAGAAAGAAAGAAAGAAAGAAAGAAAGAAAGAAACCCACTGCAATTAGCTAGGAGCACTGAGGCCACAAATGCTCAAACCAAAGACCCAAATCCCTTGGCTGCTGTCACTCTTTAGGCCAACCTACAGCTTGGTTCCAAGAGGCTGTCAGTCAGGCAAGTCAGGATGAAGAATCCCCAGTGATCCATGGGAATAACCAGCCTTGAGATCTAGGAACCAATGATTACGCTACCGTCACCTCTACTAGAAGCACACAAATTCAAACAGTGGACCTTTACCTCGACAAATCCCTGACCCAGGATCTTTATAGACTACACATTTCAAAACACAGACTGGGGCCAGAGGTCATACTGGCTGCCAGTCACTAGCCAGGGATCTCATCTTAGAGAGTTAGAATGCCCATGTTCCCTGGACAGTGACCTCTGTGATGACAGAGCTGTGATATAAGGGGGTAAGGGAGAGATCAGTCAAGAACGACTGGTTCAATACCCTCCTCTGGATTCCATGGACACCTGCATGCATGTGGCATACACACAAACTGATAAACATACACATAATTTAAAGGAGGAGGAGGAGGAGGAGGAGGGAAGAAGAAGAAGAAGAAGAAGAAGAAGAAGAAGAAGAAGAAAGAAGCCAGGCAGTGGTGGTGATGCACACCTTTAATCCCAGCACTCAGGAGACAGAAGCAGGCAGATCTCTGTGAGTTCAGGGCCAGCCTGGTCTACAGAGCGAGTTCTGGGACAGTCTCCAAAGCTAAAGAGAAACCCTGCCTCAAAAGAAAAAGAAGAAGAGGAGGAGGAGGAGCAGCAGCAGCAGAATACCATGATCAGCTATGAAGGTTGAGGTTACAAATGCTCTCCCTGGGTAACAACCAGAACAAGGGATGACAAGTCAGTGGAGATAAGAGGAGGCCATCTGGGTATGGAACATAGTACTTGTTAAGCTGCCATGCAGAGGCTAACAAGTATGATGGCCTCCACCCTGGAAAAATAGGGGAGATGGGTACCTCTGAAGAGAGATGGAATTGCATGGTTCATAAGGAAACGGACACTTTGTGCAGATAGGTACAGACAAAAGCTTGAAAGGTAGGGCAGAATCTGATTTAATGCCCTAGCTACAAAACTGGGCTTTTCCCTAGTAGTTTATGATGCTAAAACCCAAATTTAAATCGCACCAGTGAGTTATAAAATTACCTGTTGCTCAGCAAGGAACCTAAGACCATCAAGCTGTCCTCCATCAAGGTGATAATTTCTCCGGACTCAGTCCCTTTGAGCAGGAGCTCGCCTTTCCCCTTAAACGCCGCAAAACTCAGGTTCTGGTTGGTCCAGTTCTCGACCACCTGTGTCAACTTGGCTTCAATATCCTTCTCCTTACTGGCAGATATGCAGATATCCTTTCAAAGGAAGAGGGGAGAGTCACGGCTTTCTCAACTGCAAATTACCTGTGCCATAAAAATCACAGCACCTGTAGCACGGAGGGGATCAGAAGGCCACCTTTGCCCAGTACGCTAACTCGTAGCTGAGAAAGCCAAGTTCCCATGCTGTGGGTTCCCACCAGAACCAATTTTTAAGAATCTAAAGAAGGCAGACAGGTAAGAGGGCTCAGCAGAAAAAGACACTTGCAGTCAAGCCCAATGACGTCAGCCCAGGCTCCTGGATCCCACCCGGCAGAAGGAAAGAACCGACTCCTGAAGTTGGTCTGTGACTTCCCCATGCTCACCAGGGTATGCGCACAGACACACACACAATAAAAGATTATTTAAAGTGGGAAAGGAATAGTTTTAAATTTTCAACCCAAAATAGACTTAGTAAAAAAAAAAAAAAATCATTGACTTAAAAAATTTGGACTGAGCATCCTGAGGAATTCACCAAGAAAAAAATACTTAAAGGCCATTAACTTTGTTTTTGTTTTTGTTTTTGAATGTAAGTGCAGCTAAAAGATGAGAGGGTAGACTGGCAGGCTCTAAAATGACTGTACTCAAAATGATCATTTATCTTAACATGAACACCAGCATATACCTAATAAACTCCTACCTAACCTCCTTTTCACTGGTGTGCGTTGGAAATCCTGTATACCATAAGTCTACATGATTAAAGCTGTTATTCAAATTCTTCACAACTGTCATATTCTTATTGGTCCAAGCACATGCCCACAATTCCAATCTGAATAGCCCTGTGTCTCCAACACGTTATGCATCCCTGGTATTAGCCTTATGGGCATGGCACATTTTACCTTCAACTATTCCTCAACAAACGTGACACACTATGCAAGCTATTTTGAAAGAGCAAATAAAACTCTCCCTTTTCAAAAAAAATATATGGAGGGCAAAACAACACTTGAGAATCAAGAATTCAGGGCTGGACATAGCACACTGGGGAGGAGAAAGTAGGTGGATCTCTGAGAGTTTGACACCAAGCTGGTCTATAGAGTGAGTTCCACGACAGCCAGAGCTACAGAGTGAGACCCTAACCTCAAAAGATGGCGAAGCAGGTAAAAGTAGGTACTGCACTTGCAGAAAGGACCTGAATTCAGTTCCCAGCATCCACATCATACGGATCACAATTGCCTGTGACTCCAGCTCCAGGGAATCCCATGTCCTCTCCTGTTCCATGTGAGCACAAGCAACCATGTGCACCTATCCACATACAGACAGTCCATATATACAAATGTATAAAAATAAAATCAATCTTTAAAAAAAAATCTGTGTAAGCCATGCAGGAAGGGAAGCAGAGCGCAGGCCCTCTCTTACATTGAAGCTACAACAAAGTGGTGAAGTACAGATAGAAGGGTGGTCGCTGCAGGCAGGAAGGAGAGGGGCAGACACCAGAATCCAGAGGGACAAGAGAAAGGAGCCCTTGTGTCACCCCGTGGAGCGAGGCGACCATCCTTCACAATGGCATTGCACATTTAATGGACAACCAGAAAAGGGGGGCTTGAAGACCACAGACACAATGATAAAGAGACACACACCTGACCATGACATGCCAGATGCATGCATTGAACCCTCACTCTCTGGCCCACAAATATGTGCAAGTAGGTGCAGAGTGAAAACAAAATAAATGTCCGAGCTGGAGAGATGGCTCAGTGGTTCCCACCACTCAAACCAGGCAGCTCAGAACCACCGGTAACTCCAGCCCCAGGGGGTCCGATGCCCTCTTCTGGTCTCTGAAGACACTTACACTCGAGTGCACATGCCCACACACAGCCGATCACACGTAAACTCATAATGAAAACTCAAATGTTTCCCTGAGAAATCGCAGAAAAGAAACATTCCTGAGCGGCCCATTGATACCTCGCTCTCCTACATACCTCAATATCATCCTTATTTTTAAGGAGAGGAGCTTCCATGATATTTCTCAGGCAAAACGAATCGGATTCCACGTCGAATGGGGTGCCAGTGAGCTCTGAGATGCGGTCCCAGTGCCTCTGCTTCATCGCTTTGTTGGTCATCATTTCTAGTAGGGGGCACGACTCACTGAAGTCGTCAATTCTCTTTTTGAGGTCCAGGAAAGCCTGCCAGTCTTTCAGACCTTTGGGAAGTTTTCGGCATCTTTCAGGAAGAAAGAGAGAAAAAGATTCTCACCTGTGCAGTTGTTGTTTTGTTGGTTTGGGTTTTCAAGAAAGTTTAGCCCTTTTCCTTTGGAGAAAATGTTATGAACAGACAACAATAATATAGCTTGTGAAGCATCTCTTCTCCCACATTGTATTTTGTGTGTATGAGTGTTGCTGGCACACATGACCATGTACTATTTATATACCTGGTGCCCAAGGAGACCAGAAGGGGACACTGGATCCCTGGGACTGGGAGATGGCTGTGAGCTACCACGTGGGTGCTCATAATAGAACCCGGGTCCTTTGGAAAAACAGCTAGTGCTTTTGGTTGCTGAGGCATTCCTCCAGCCCTGAAATGCCTTTTAAAAAAAAAATCATTTTTAATTCCGTGTGTGTGTGTGTGTGTGTGTGTGTGTGTGTGTGTGTGTGTGCATGTGCACCATATGCATGCAATACCCAGGGAGACCAGAGGAGGGTGCTCTGGGGTTGGAGTTACAAGTGGTTCAGAGACACCAGACATGGTTGCCAGGAACTGAACTTGGGTGCCCTGAAAGAGCAAGAAGCACTCTTAAACCCTGAGCCATCTCTCTAGCCTCAGCTTGTAAGCCGTCTAACAGGGGCCTTGTAAGATAAACACTGGAAGGAAGCAAGCCAATGCAACTGAGGCCCACCTGTTCTGGAACTCCAGTAGTTCTGCGTTGATTTTTTCAATGTCTACATCTCCCCAGAGTATCTCATAATAACCACTGATGCTGCCCATGACAGTGTCATACAGTCCATACAGCTTCTGGAGCAAGTTAAGTTCTTTTCTGAAGAACAAAATGACTTGTGTAAAGTCTCTCGACACAAGAGCACACCCAGTGTTGGCTTCCAAGACAAAATCTTTGTTAAAGTTCCCTCAATAAGGTCAAGGCCCACAACATCCTAAGTAATAGGATCAGTCAGCGTTAACGACTGCTTTGGTAAAGAATGAACTTGGGCCGGGCGTTGGTGGAGCACGCCTTTAATCCCAGCACTCGGGAGGCAGAAGCAGGCGGATCTATGTGAGTTCGAGACTGCCCTGGTCTACAAGAGCTAGTTCCAGGAAAGGCTCCAAAACCACAGAGAAACCCTGTCTCGAAAACTCGAAAAACCAAAAACAAAATAAAAAAAAAAATGAACTTGGACTCTTTTCTAAAGCTAAGCCACATAATTCAATGTTGCTTACCTTGTTTGTTGTGTTTTTTGTTGTTTTGTTTTGTTTGTTTGTTGGAGACAGAGTCTCACTGTGTAGCTCTGGCTGGCCTGGAACCTGCTCTGTAGACCAGGCTATCCTTGAGCTCACAGAGATTCCACTGTCTCTGTCTCCCAAGTCTGGGATTAAAAGTTTGCATGATCATACCCAGCTTTAGTTATACTGATGAAAAGTTTTTTAAATCATTTTTCTTTTCCATGGCCCTAAGAACTGTTTCTTTTCCTCAAAGGTTACCGCCCCCAGGGATGTGTGTCAAGCAGAAGGTGAGAAGAATTTCTTCATTTTCAACAGGGTGACATCACAGTGGGAAACCACTACGTCCTTCGGGTGGCATGCAATGTTTCAACAAAACGTAAGAACAGAGCTCGGAAGGCACTATTCCTGTGTTTTTCACTTGTATAACTTTTACTTAATACAGCCAAGAATTCAGAATTACTCAGTGTCTTCATAAAACAACATAGAAACAAGTTGACAATGAACTTGGTAATTTATGATAAATGATAGATTTCAGAGGCTGGCAAGATGGCTCAGCAGATAGAGGTACCTATCTCTAGCCAAGCCGAAGTTTGATCCCTGGGTTCATGGGTCTCACGTGGTGGAAAGAGATAATCAACTCACATAAGTTGTCCTCTGATCTCCACACACATGCTGTGGCACATATGCACATACACACACACACACACACACACACACACACACACACACACTCACATACACACACACATTTAAAAATAAGTAAATGTGATATAATTTTAAATAAAATTTCATTATAAAAATTGTCCATGTGCCAGGCATAGTGGTACATGCCTTTAATCCCAGCACTTAGGAGGCAGAGGCAGACATAGATCTCTGTGAGTTTGAGGCTAGCCTGGTCTATGGAGGAAGTTAGTTCCAGGACAGCCAGGGCTACTACACAAAGAAACCCTGTCTCAAAAAAAAAAAAAAAAAAAAGAAAAGAAAAGAAAAATGGTCCAAGAGTCAGATGGCTACATGCCCTGTTATACTGGAGATTATCATGTTGAATCTCACACCAAGAGTGTGAGTAAGAATTACTCAATGATTGTGTAAAAGTGAAGACTTTCAATAAGCCACAGATGAGAACCAGACACCTGTAATTCTAACATAACTGGTGAATGGGTTACACTCAGAGATTGGTGTTTTAGAAGGAGAATAAAAACATCTACCCTAAACGGCTGAAACATTCATCTATCTTCTGATGAAAGTCAACAGCCAAGACTCTAAAAGTACTGTTGTAATGGGGATCAAATTCAGGGCCTTACACAAGTTAGGCCAGCACTCTACCATGAGCCATGCCCGAAACCTTAATGCTGATTCTGAGAAAAGATTCTACTAACTATATCTTGTTTAAATCGCAGATATGTTCTTAAAATCAAGCTAGCTATTCAACCACTAATTTCAATACAATCTACGTCTACTCCATGAGGCAGAGCACCCTTGACATGAGTGTAGTCAGAAGGAAAATCAAAAGCATTGGGGTAGAAACCGCAGTGCTTCAGACTCACTAACACTGTCCAAAGATAGTAAAAAGAACAAGTAAGTCACAAGCTAATTTTACGAGAGACCAGAACTACTGCAATGGACTCTCCACCTTCTCCAGAAACTTTACTTTGTATATGGATATGACTTTTCTGTTGATGTGATAACAAACTCTGGCAAAAGAACCTCCAGGAAGGATGGTTTACTTTAGCTCACAGTTTGAGGTTACAGGTCCTTCAGAGAGAGGGAATTGAGGCAGCTGGTCACAGGGCATCTACTGTGGTGATATAGTATTTATGATTTAATAAAGATTGCCTGAGACAGGCGTTGGTGGTGCACGCCTTTAATCCCAGAACTCGGGAGGCAGAGACAGGCAGATGTCTGTGAGTTCAAGACCAACCTGGTCTACAAGAGCTAGTTCCAGGATAGGCTTCAGAGAAACCCTGTCTCAAAAAACAAACAAACAAACAAAAAAGATTGCCTGAACTATTGGAAAGCAAAGCCAGCCACATTAGTTAGCTGTAGAAGCTAGGCAGTGGTGGCACATACCTTTAATACCAGGACTCAGGAGACAGAGGCAGATGGATCTCAATGAGTTCAAGGCCAGCCTGACCTACACAACAGTAAAGAGTAACAGAGCTCACGCCTTTGATCCCAGCACTAGGGAGGTGGAGACAGGAGGATATGGATGGGCAGAGAAAGGAATATAAGGCAGGAAGAGACAGGAATTCAGAACTTTTGCCTCTGAGGACTGGTGGAGACAGGATTGCCATTTCAGCTGGGTAGAGGTAAGACCTCCTGGCTTGGCTGCTTTGCTTCTCTGACCCTCAGCTTGAACCCCAATATCAGACTCTGGGTTTTTAATTTTCATGTTATGGTCCACAGCCAAAATGAAGAAAGTGGCACTCAGTCTGCTTTCTCCTTATACGGTTTAGGATCCCAGCCTAGGGAATGATGCCACCTGCAGTGAGAGGGTCTTCCCACTTCAGGTAAGGTGACAATCCCCCATGGGTATTGTCGTGACCCAGCATGTCTCAGCCTTAACCCATGAGGTTCCGTCTGAGTGGGGGTGTGTGGACCTGGAAACTCCTAGCAACCCAGCAGCAATAAAGACCAAACACAGGCATCTTGTCATCTTTAGAGAGCTCTCAGTTCCATGCTGTAAAACTAGAGGCTTTTCTTTGTCATCTTTTCGGCTGTTTCTTAACCGTCCTGCCATGACCATGAGGAGATGACTTCTGTCTTTGTTCTCCTCTCTCCTCGATGGCCCTAACCCTTCACTCTCCTTCCTTCCTTACACCTTGTCCCTCCTCCCAGGTGCAGGCCTATCCAGATGCTTAGGCCCATAGAGATGCAAAACTAGGAGGCATCCTATACTGAGGCTATGGTAAACAATAGTAGATTTGCTAGTATTAGCAATACAATAGTGGGCGGGAGCTTTCCAGTGCTCCTGTTTAGTGAAACCCAAGGCTGGATCTCAAAATATTCCATAGCGGAACTATTTTGGTCCCCCACCGAGTATGGCCTGGGGTTCCTCTCCCATGTGATTCCAGATCTCATCACGCTGACAGCTGAAATGAGTCATCACAGAGATTATGTATGCATCTAGAGAGTCAGACATGTTAGCAATAAGGGGAATACATGGGTGTATCCTGAGCCATGCTTTCTGCATGTTGGCAGTATTTAGTGATTTACATGGGACACTTGCACATTTGCAGAACTTACCTGATTTTATGCAAAACTTCATAGTCAGTCACTGGTAATCCGAAAAGTTGTTCCCCAGATGAATATGTAACAAATTTCCTCCATAGATCATCAAAATTGGCCTACAACAAAGATTTTTGAAGTTCTACTGACATAGAATTAATTCAGATCCCATTAAAGGATAATTTATTATAATTGAGAGAAAGGGTAATACACATGAAAGAAGGATTTATGGGGCAAATTTATTTTGATCCAAGACACCAGAGGCAGGCAGAGCACTTAGGAAAGTTACCTTCAAGCATTCTACATGCATCTATTTTATATTAAACTCATCCTTTAATGAACTAAGTGGTCTCCAGAAATGCTGTATTCCAAATCCCTGTCTGCACATTTGAAAGTAAGAGAATGGTATTGTTAAAAACATCTGTAGTTCAGGCTTTTTCACTACGTTGGACTAGCAATCCCTCTCTCCCATAGGATTCCAAAGTGAGAAAAGCATTAGTGCTACAGAGGCAGCCTGTTTTCTTTACCCAATGCAAGACTCTACAGAGTGAAAGATTTTATTGTAACACCAAGAGAAACACATTTATTTCCCTTTCTTGAGATATTTTGTGTCTCATTGTATGCGTGCATGTGTATCTGTGTGTGTGTGTGTGTGTGTGTGTGTGTGTGTGTGTGTGTTTGTTGCCTGTAGAAGCCAGAAGAGGGTGCTGGATTCTCCTAGAGCTAGAGCTGCAGTTGATTGAGAGTCACAATGTGGGTGCTGGGAACCAAACTCAGGTCCTGTGTAAGAGCAGCGAAAGTGCCATCTCTCAAGCACTCTCATTTTTCAAAAATTTTAATTAAAAATTGAATAGCATATACTTGATTGCTAAAATATGAACCATGGTAGTGATCCACCAGTTACACCATAAGCGCCCATGGAAGTCCCTTCTCCACAGAGTGAACATCTCCCTAAATGTCCCTGCTTACCTCTCACGGTTGAGCCTGTACACAAACTGTAAACTCTCCTCCCCCTGCCTAACCCTAATTATTCTCCCACAATGCATCTGAGATGCCTCTTCTTCCAGGGGGAACCTTCTCTGCTTGCCCCAGTAGTTCCCATCTGGGCTGGGAAGCCCCATAGCCCTGCTTCCAAATTCCAAGTTTCCAAAACTAGATCATGGCCCTCAAAGTATGGCTTCAGAATTGTGTCCTCTAGCTTACTGTGTCTGTCAGATTTCAACAGCTCAGAGGTAACAAATGAACCTCAGATTTATTTATTTTTATTTTATGTGTATGAGTGTTTTCTGCATGTACGTATGTACAGTGGGTATGTGAAGGCCATTGCATACCCTGGAACTGGAATTACAGGTGGTTTTGAGTCACTATATGGGTGCTAGGAACCAAACCCAGGTCCCCTGAAGGAGCAGAAAGTGCTCTTTAACCACTGAACCATCTCTCCAGCCAGCATCCCCATTTGTTGACTCAGAGTACAGGAGGGGCAGGAAATATAAAACAGTCTAGAGCCCCTGTAGGAACATACAAGGGTTTGTAATGGGGGGGGGGCATAAAGAGAACAGAACTCCTCAGGGCTTGTGGAGGGAAAATCCATTGGGCACTCCATGAATTTAGAAAACATTCACCCAAATGGATGTGCTATTTTCCTCAGAGTGTTCTCAGCAATCTACGTACAGAAAAAGATGATGAATGGTTGGTCTGACCCTAGGAATACTATACAGTCTGGACCATGGAGGTTTTCAAGTATGCATATAAAAGGAAGACTGGTGCTGAGAATAAAAAGTAATCAGGAAAATGACTACCCAATATTTAAAGTCTTTTTTTTTTTTTTTTTGATTTTTCGAGACAGGGTTTCTCTGTATAGCTTTGGAGCCTATCCTGGCACTCGCTCTGGAGACCAGGCTGGCCTCAAACTCACAGAGATCTGCCTGCCTCTGCCTCCCGAGTGCTGGGATTAGAGGCATGCGCCACCAACACCCGGCGCAATATTTAAAGTCTTATGATGATAAAACATATCGTACTATCAATTTTCTTCACTTTGAATATCAAAAGAGATGGTAAGAAATAGGACAAGTTCATAGTCAAGAAATTAAATTCACAGTCAAGGCATCACTCTCTAATAATACTGAGATTCTGTGTACAGCCTAGAGGCAGGAGAGAGGGAGGGAGGGAGGGTGGGTGGGAGGAATTAATAGATAACAATGTTTAGAAGATTAGAGTGCAAAGCTGGAGATAGTAGCCAGAACTTGCAATACCAGCACTGGGAAGGTGGAGGCAGATCCTGGGGCTTGGTGGCCAGCCTAGTCTATTTGGTGAGTTCCAAGCCACTGAGAGACCCTATCTTGAAAGAAAGAAAAGAAAGAAAGAAAGAAAGACAGAAAGAAAGGAAGGAAGAAGGGAGGGAGGGAAGGAGGGAGGGAGGGAGGGAGGGAGGAAGGGAGGGAAAGAAAAGAGGAAGGGAAGAGAGGGAGGGATGGAGGGAGAGAGGGAAAAAAGAAAGGTCAGTGATACCAAGGAATGACACCAAGGTTGTCCTCTGGCCTCCAAACACACGTGCCAGCACACAAGGGTGCATATGAGTATATGCATGCACACACATACAATTCTTGCTTGCGTGCATGCACAATTAGACTGTAACTAAAATTTTCATGTATTTTAAACATTAATTTTTCTATTATAAGATAAAACATAAAATTGCCTCTAAAATCACATTTTAAAATACTGCCTTGTCAATATGACAGAAGAAACTGTCTTTACCTGAAATATCTGCAGCCTGTTGCTAGCTTCTTGGGGTGGAATGTTTGGTACCATGGGTCCTTCCTGTAAGAAATAATACCATCTCCGCTCTTACTCCTGATCAATACATGTGCCAGCTTACTGGCTCTATCTAGAACTTACTTTATTTTCTTAAATGGTTTTTGTGTGTGTTATCTGTGTGGGTGTGATATGCACATAGGAGTGCAGGAACCCTCAGAGACCAGAAGAGGGCATCAGATTCCCTGTAGCTGGAGTGCCGGCATTGTGAGCTGCCCAGTATGGGTGCTTATGGCCAAACCCCCCTCACATACTCTTACCTGCTAACTCAAGTGCTCTTTAACTACTCAGGTGCTGGGATCAAACTCTGTCCTTTGCAAGAGCAGCAAGTATAACTGCCGAGCCATCTCCCCAGCCCCTCTGTCAGGAATTCTGTGAGATTTCTATCTCCTAGAGAGGATAAAAACTGGCCCTTCATTCCCTCCCTTTGGGATTGTTGCTTTCTCTATAACACATGCTCAAAGGAATAGCCATCCCCTTTATGGATAGTTGTAAATATGCAGATTGGGTCATTACCATATAATTTACCTACTTCCTAAGAGGTGTCCCTTTTTATCTCAGATAAACCTACCACAGACGTTGCAACACACACCATGCCACATTTAAATTACCAACTCATAGGCTTCTGTAAAGTTAACAACGTCCTCACGAAAAATTTCCACTGACTCAAGCAGGTTGCCTTTAAACTTGGGTTGCACTTGAACAAGCTCATCCTGTACAGAAACCTGGAATCAAGAGGGACATGCAGCATCAGAGTCTGAGTGATGTATTAAAAATGAGAACTATAATTCCTCTCTAGCAAGTTTATGTGCCACAGCCTGTGGGGATAAAGATGTCTCTGCTCCCTTGTTGCAATATACATGAAGGACCCAGGTGCACCTACAGGACACTGGAGTATCTCTGCTTTGTGACTTGAGAGGACTGTTATGCCACAGATGAAAGTTAACTCAGAATGCATCAGAGACCTAAATGTAAAGACTAAAATTGTAAAACTAGGAAAGCATAGATGTGAGCCTGTATAACTGGATCAGTCAGTGATTTCCTGCATGTGATAGGAAAATAGGGACAACAGAAGAGACTGGATTGATTAGGCTTTAACTAAAATAAGAAAAACACGAATACACTTCAAAAGATGCCACAGAGAAGGTGAAAGAGTTGGAGCTGGGGATATAGCTCAGTGATAGAACTCCGCTGAGAATGGCCTGAGTTTGATTGTTCCCAGCATCGCCAATCCATCAACCAATCAATAAGGTATAAAGATTATGCACAGAACAATGAGAAAATATTTACAAGTCTTTTATGAGGTAAGGAACCCAGAAAATACTAAAAACTCATAAAACTTAACAATAAGAAAGAAAAGCTCAATTTAAAAAAACAAACAAACAGCCACTTTATACATATATATCCCCAGTGATATACAAATGGCCAATAAAACGGTCAAAGGAATGGATGCTTGATATCATTAGCAACTGAAAAAAAAAAAAATAAAGTGCCTGGGGCGCTGTGTGTGAGCCTTGAAAATGAATGCTAAGTTAAAGATGCCTCACATACGCCCACATAGTGTATAATTCCATCTTCATTAAATATTCAGAAGAGAGAAATCCACGGACATGTAAAGTGCTCCAGGGCTGGGGTGAGGCAGAAAATGAGAACGCTTGCTAACAGCCACAGGGTTTCTTTGGGGGATAATGAATATGTTCTAGAATGAGGTCGTGATGGTTTTTACACAATTTTGTGGATATACAAAAAAAAAAAAAAAAAAAAAAAAAAAAAAAAAAACCCTGCTGAATTGCCTATTTCAAAATGGCCAGTCTTCTGATATCAATAAAATTATTGCAACTGATAGTTTTTAAAAGTTTAAAATGTATTTTCCTGGAAGCCGTGACTTAATGGAAAGATAGAATTAAGCGTGCGCTTACAGCTTTGCTCTGCAGTTTGTTGAATGAGTATCTCAAGGTGTCAACGCCCTCAGACTCTTCTTTGGTCACTTCAACTTCAAATCTGTTTAAAATGCCATAGGCTTCCTGCAAGGCAGAGGCAGAGCTCAGAAACATCTCAGAGGAAGTACATCCCAGAAGCTTTGGATACATCCTAAAAACACTGCATCTTCAACAAGCTGTGGAGAGTCCTTTAGATTCTCAACGCTGGCTCAGAATTACCGGCTCAGAAACCCTCCGCTCACTGTCACCTAGGTCATTCTGAAGGAGATGTGGGCAGATCACAATGAGAACCTAGATCTTAGGCAATACCCTTAGAGCTACTTCCTGTTGTTCTCCTTGACCTTGGGACAGTGCCTTTGAGATAGTGTCTCCTACATGAAGACGGGAATTAACCATATAACAAATCAAGAGAAATGATGTGTGTGACTACTCAGGAGAAGAGAAAAAGGGCAGAACCACTATTTTAAAGCCGGCTTCTATTTTGAAAGGGTGTTTCCGGAAGGCAAGATGCAATCATTTCTTACTTCAATGGGCCCCAGAGTCATGTCCATTTGAATTTCATTATCCCGAATGCAAGATAGAGCTTCCATGGCAAATCTGACATCGTCTAGGTCACGGATGGGCCTGGACAACTTTTTCAAGTACTCGGTGATGAATGCTATCATGTCTGACATTTTCTTTTTATACTCTTCATTCAAGTATCGACAGAGCAGCATCTTCCAGGCCTTGGCCTCGATTGACAAGGCTAATTTCATTGGCTCTGGTGAGGACAAGAAAGATGAAGACCTCTGAGACGGTTTCCTCTGTGTCCTGTGGAGCTCAGTCCCATTCAGTGTCCACTGACCACAAGTGGCCACTGGTCACCTCAAGCACACTTAACCTGTTAGATGTGCTGGAAAGTCACTGCATTTCTAAGAGCGCTCCCACAAATCTGGCTGTAGGAGAAGGATGCAGCAGTCTTTGCAGGAATCTCTAAATGGATAGTGACGTTAGGTAAGCTGTGCTCAATCTAGACACCCTACCATCAGGCCCTACTTATTTATTCCCTCTAGGGAAGCCCCTTTCCATGGAATGAAATCCACTGTTTCTCCCAGCAAACCATGGCCCTAGGTTGCCTTCTGTTCTACTACCTGTCTCACCCACACGGTTAGAATATTTACACAACATGACTCTACCCTGACTGACCATCCCAGCTCAATACAGACCTATAAGGACTGCTCTAAAGAGTCCTTCTGTTGGTGTGGGTGTTGAGGGAGAGGTGAGAGTAGTCTGGAAAGCAGAAAGCCCAGAGCAAGGAAGAAATGAGGAGTAGAGAGAAAGGGTACATGAGAGTCGTGCCCACAGAGGAGAGCACTGGATCCTGTGGAGCTGGAGTTATAGACAGTTGTGAGCTACCTGACACAGGCTCTTGAGAACCAAACTTGGGTCCTCTGCAAGAGCAGTACATCCTCTCAACCAGCAAATCATCATCTCTCTGGCCCCATAGCTTTATATCTTAACATAGTGTGAACTGGGTGTGGTGGCTCTTGTCTGTAATCCCAACACTCAGAAGATAGAAGCAAGAGGATCAGGCGATCAGCTATATATTCAGTTTGGGGCTAGCGTGGACTAAATGAGACTCTGTCTTAGAAAAGAAAAAAAAACAAAGAAAAACAGGGGGGTAAAAGAATATGAATGGCCTAGAACTACTTGGCATTTACAAGATTATACCAAAGCTGCTTGCTGAGTCAAATACCATTTCATGGGTAATAGCCCCTTCCCTCCAAAGTAAAATATCTTTACCTTGTAAAAATATAGATGCAACTTGATGTAACTCTTAGACTTGAGAGCAGACTACAAGAGTAGTCTGTCTGCAATCCCTGCAGCTGCCCTCCCCCTCTTACAGATCCCACCGAGACATCATTTGTGAGTCCCCAGCTACCAGATTTCCAGGTGCCCAGGTTCCCCACCTACAGAGGTGAGTCTGAGCCAAAGCAGGAATCAGCAGCCATGCGTCCTGTTCCCCACCCTTCCCCCATCTCCTGCCTTGGAATCAGAGAGCCTGGCTGCAGCCTGTACTATGAAACTTGCCCCATCCTCAGAGAGCCATAAGAAGGGACGTCAATTCTGCCATGGGCCCTGACTCCTCCTCAGAGGTCCCACCATGGTTGTCTGTCTGTCTGTCTGTGGTGTTAATAATTCTTCTAATAACTCCTTACTCCCAACAATCCATCTCAGTGTCCCCCTTGGTACCTCATCCGTGACCCACCAGTAACATTGGTGACATTACCTGTGTGCAATTCAAGGGCTCCTACGACAATAATGGGCTTTAGCTCATCGATCTCCTGTTCAAACGTGGCGTAGTGGAGAATCTCCGACCTGATCTCAGTCAGGGATGGGTTGTTGGCCAAAAACTCCTGTCAGGTAAGGCAACAGTTAATACTCCCTTCAGTCTGCAGGAGTCCAACACATGCACTTAGAACCATCAGGCTGGAAAACTGTACTTTTGCTATAGCAGGATTCCCGTACAGGGAGATGGAACCCTAAGGAGCCTGATAGGAAGCAGTCAGTGTTCATTGGAACCAGCTGAAACTGGTCCAGTGGATTCACAGCACAGCAGTGAGTAGCATTATATACACTTCCTCCAGTCCTTTATAGTTAGTTTAGCTCTCTGCTCCCTTACACTCTAACATACATCCTGACTGGGTGGTCCAAGTTACAGAATAATCCAGTCATGCATCTGCACATAGACCCTGATAATACCTTATTGCCTTCCCTTTGTTCTGGGAGGGTCCTAACTACAGCTCATACATTTTTACACTTGTCCATGCTATGAGCCAATGCCTTGGAAAAGAACAAGCTATCCTGGTAGGCCCTAGGGCACACATCTGCATGAAGGAGTGACACAGGACAATGGGACTGGTTAGTCGGGGTTCAGTAGCCTCCGTGGGTCTCCACTGTGCAGGGCTGTCCTCTGTTGAAGCTGGGCCAGCCTGCAAAAGATCATCATAGCTGGGCTTGTAGACTGTTGACCCTCCCTCATAGAAGGAAAGGCCAGGAAGGGTCACAGGACCCTCACCAAGTATCCAGCCACTCTTTCCACCCAACCGAATGCAAGTCTGCCCTAACTCCCATGATGCTGAAGATCTCTTGGAAGGGCTAGAGAACATAGGATGGAAAGGTCTAAAGGAAGGGGGCTCCATGTGCATAGCCCATGGGGAAGGTATCATCCATGCTGGTGCAGCTGTCTCACAGTACAGCTATTTTAGGCTCACTCATGCTCTATGTGTAACTAAACTCATTTGTTCCCCAAGGGGAACTTCTGGGGAAATGAACTTTGGTTTGTCACTGGGACGCTAAGAGAAGCAGGAACCTTTCCGAATCCTGCCAGAGACTCACTGTTGTCAACTGCCTCAGGGTATCACTGTGAGAATAGCTAGTTGCTTGGCATCTATGGGTTCTTGCCCTCTGTTCAGAGTTCTGTCATTATCCCCAACATCTTCATTCAGTCCCTACCCCCACCCTGTCTACACAAACACACACACACACACACACACACACACACACACACCACCACCACACCAAACACACACGAGACACACACACATGAAACATACACCACACAACACATGCACACACACACCACATACACCGGCACACACACACCACACACACATATATACACACCAAACATATACATACATACACACACCAGTCACACACCACACAACACATGCACACATACACACACACACATACACACACACACACACACACATACACACACACACACACACACACACACACACCACACACCACACATACTCAATAGAAGCATACCTTCACTTTGACGTCCCGGTCTTCGGTCCACAGAGTCTTGTACTTCTGAAAGTCCTGCAAGGCCTCGTTGGCTGCCTTCCGAAGAGAATTCATAGAGGAAGACAGGAGGAGGACCAGCTTGGAGATGTCCTTGTGCTCTGCCACCCCAGGGTAAAAGTTCTTTAGCTTCCTGGCAGGGATAGTTTCTTCGTAGGACCCTGAAAGCAGATGTTTCCAATGTAGATAGCACCTATATTTAACTTGGATATACTATTAACTGTAATATGGATGGGAGTCTTTAAAAAAATGTGTGTGTGCGGTGTGGGATTGGTTTGGTTACATATATAATTTCTTTACTTGAAAGTCAAGAGGACAACATGAAGAAGTCTGTTCTCTCTTTCCACCATGTAGTTCCCAAGAATAGCGATCAGGCTGTCAAACATGGTGGTAAGCACTTTTACCCACTGAGCCATCTCACCAGCCCCGAACACTTTTTATTTGTTCAGTGTGTGTGTGTGTGTGTGTGTGTGTGTGTGTGTGTGTGTGTATGTATGTGTGTTCTCAGGTGTGTCGTATGGTGGAGGTTAGCAATCGGCTTGTGGGAATGAACTCTCTCCTTCCACCGTGGGCTCTGAGGCTTAAACAAGGATTGCATTGTCAGGCTGGGCAGCAAAAGCCTTTACTTGCTGAGCTATCTTGCTGCAAACCCCCCCACCTTTTTTTGAGGCAGGATCTCATACTAGCCCAGGTTGGTCTTGAACTTGCTATGTAGGTGCCAAGGTCCTTGACTTCTGATCCTCTTACAGTTGCCTCCCTTTTGAGGGCTGGGATGATGGGTATGTGCCACCAAGTTTGGCTATTGGCTTTTGATTGGCCCATGCAGCACTTAAAAAACAAAAACAGTTTTTTACAATCAAAAAGCATTAGCCTTCATGCAAAACTACAGACTCTCAGTTTCTCCCGTTAAACTGTGAGATTAGGAGCCTGCACGGGAACAACAGCTGGGTTGACTGGAACTATGGCGCTTACCCAGCTGCCTGTAATCCCATTTGCTCTGCTACTGAATTAGATTTACACAAAAGAAAGCACAAAGTGCTGGCTTAATTTGACCAGCTAGCTGACTGATGCTGTGGCATGCTTTGGTAGGTTAGAGCTTTGTATTATTGAGAAGTTCGCTGTAGAAAAGGCCACATTTAAGACAGTTTAGAGCAAGCTGGGTTCCATTCCTGGTATCCATGTGGTGGCTCCCGACTGTTCATAACTCCAGTTCCAGAGAACTCAGTGCCCTTTGCTCATCTCAGTGGGCACCAGGCACACATGGGGTGCACAGGTTTACATTCAGGAAAAACACTTATATACATAAAACAAACCTAAAGAAACTAAGACGGTGTCTGCTTATCCCTTCATGTTTTGAGACATGTTAGCAATTTGGGGCAGCTGTGAAAGGCCCAATAGTTTATGAGAGCACATAGGATGCCGAAAGAAGAGTCGGTGCTCCGGTTTCTTTTCATACTTTGCCTTCTAAAATTACTACAAGACAATGTTAAAACTACAAACCTTTGCTCACTGACGACCAATAACTAGAAATGATTGTGTGTGTGTACATACACACAGGCACATACACACACATACACACACACATACACACACAGAGGCTGGGGAGATGACTCCTCAGTGGTTTAGAGCAATTGCTGCTCTTAGGGAGGACCCAAGTTTGGTTCTCAACATCCGCATCAGGAGTCAACCACCCGTAACTCCAGCTCCAGAGTATCTGTCGCCCTCTTCTGGCCTCTGTGAGCACCTGCACACATGAGCACATGCACATGCACACACATTTTGGGCTAACTGGATGTTTCATTTTCCTTACTGTCTTCCTTCAACAGCACTTTTCCTGTGCCTGGGAGGTTTTGGTCAGTGCGAGAGGAACTGTTAGGAATGGACTTGATTCGTCGGACCTGCTGCTGTCCCCAGTGTGCCACTCCTCTGCTGACCTCCAGAGTAAACTGGATCATGCGGTTGATGGCTTGCTGAATGTCATCCAGGCTAGGAACCATCACCTGTAGAGAACAGCAGCCTTTGTGTAATTCTACCAGCACACACAGCCTTCCCCAACCCACCCCTGACTCTAGTCATCCAACTCCCCATGAGCAGTCAGAGCCTGTGTTGGTGCTGTGCCAGGAGACGCTGCAGATATCTGGCACCCTGAAGATTTCCCAGCTCTAACTACTGCTGCTGGCCAAAAGGTCAAGGGATTCACATCAGTGAACCAAAATGACAGAACAAGCTACAGCATTGCAATTCCTTTTGCTTCTTTACAATGTGTCACAGCAGCTACAAAGCTCTTTGTAGGTCAGACTATGGGGTTTGGTGTCAGGAGGGTCACAGGCTGATGGCATCTAGACTACCCTGTGTGGCTTAGAGCTCCAGGCAGCAGCAAGCAGCTGGGCTGCCACTGGAAAATGGAGGAGTTTCACAGCATTCAGTGTGAGGGTTCCTTTCACTCCATGCTACAATATTCAAAATGATGCCTTATGAGGCTGGGTTTGGACCAGAGATTGTGGCTGCTATGGTGATTTTATTTTAATGTTCAAAGAAAAATGTAGGGTGATTTCTATTTGCTAATTGATGGCAGACTAGACCTTCACTCCTACGCCAGCCTGTAATACACCATGAGCCATTTAGAAGTAAGATGGATATGTGCATGTGTGTGTGGTCTGGGATCAAACCCAGTACCCCTCTATACACTGAGCAAATGTCCTATCCCAAACCTCAGCTCAAAGGTTCTAGTAATAGATATAAATGGTGACATTTTTACTTTTATTTTTATTCAAGACTAGGGGAAGTAAAAGTACATCCTCAGGGATTAAGAAAGTGTACTTCCTGCACAGGTCCCAAGCTCAGTTCCCAGAACCCATGCTGGGTGGCTCACAGCAACCTGTAGAGGATCTGACACCCTTTTCTGGCCTCCATGGGTACTGCACTCATATATGTACACACACACACACACACACACACAGAAATAATAAACTTTTAAAGTAAAATAAAATAAAAACATACAGAACCAAGGTCTAACTCTAAGTAAAAGTCCAGTTCTTACATAGAATTGTTTTTAATTTTATTTATTTACTTATTTTTGCAATGCTGGGGACCCAAAGCCTCACACTCTAAACACTAACCGAACACTGTGCTTTTAAAATACATTGCCAAAATATCACCATAAATAAGACTTACCACATTAGGAATTGCAAGATGCACTTCGGTTTTTATAAAGGAAACGATATCCTCTGACCGTTTCCGCCCAAGGCTAGAATGAACAGACAATGAATGTTAGCCTGAATTTCGGTTTCTAACACTGTATGTTTCCATTCTAAAAATAAAGACCATCTTTAATCTTGGAAAAGAAAACACCCCACCCCCAAACCCAAACCCAAGCTCAGGGAACATCAAGAAAAGGAGGCAAGTCAGGCGTTGGAGGCACACGCCTTTAATCCTCCCAGCACTCAGGAGGCAGAGGCAGGTGGATCTCTGTGAGTTCAAGGCCAGCCTGGTCTACAGAGCAAGTGCCAGGATAGGCTCCGCTACACAGAGAAACCCTGTCTCAAAAAACCAAAAAAAAAAAAAAAAAAAAAAAAAAAAAAAAAGAAGAGGAGGAGGAGGCAGAAAACATTGTAAGAGCTGGAGGGGGTGATGTTGTGTCCTGGATGTGAGGTGACTATCACACCCATTAACTCCCTGCCCTACGGCTACCTATACCAGACCTGCATAAGAATGAGCCAACAACATGAGTCAACATTACACAGTCAGCACTGATACAACCCACAGGGTAACCAACTGAAGGGAGCAGCTTCCCTTTTTGCAGCCATAACGGCCAAACACGTGCTTCTATGACTTTGTCCTAGACACTAGAAAGTCAGATGCCTGTCTCGTGACTAGGAACCAAATCGAAAGTTAGTTAGTCACTAGAAAGTCAGATGCCTGCCTCGTGACAAGGAACCAATCAGAAGTTAGCTGGTGGTGCTATGCTTTACGACCCTGGGTGTGCTTTACAGACAAGCGCACAGCAATGATGTACAAAGCATAGCAACCACCCTGGGAGGGCCTATGGGCCATAACAACCAGTTGACCAATCAACACAGGGCAAGCCCTCCAAGCCTGGAGGCACACCAATCCTGAGCCTGTGCGTACCCCTAGACACTCCCCTTACGCTGCCCTACAAGATCGGTAAGCATCGGGTTCAAGCTGTCTTTTGCTAGCCATCTGCCATGGCGGGTGGATGAAAGACCCTAGCTAATATGGGGTTAGCTCGTTAAACAAATATAATAAAGCCTCGTGCAGTTTGCATCAAGCTTTTGACTCTGCCTGGTGATTGGGGTGACCGCGGTCCTGGGCTGAGATCCTGGAGGCCTGAGCTTCCAGGGGTCTTTCTGGTCTCTTTCCCATCTCTCTCTGGGGAGCTGGAAAATCATCTGGGAGTGTTTTATCCATTAAACCTGAGCTTTTTCTAATTCGATTTGATTTGGTTTGCTTTGGATTGCTGTGTCAGTGGAGAGGCTTATCGGGGTGCAGAAACTTTTCATAAAGTAGAGGAGGAAACCCCTTCAGAGGCCTTCGAACCCCCAGCTCTTGGGAAGGGACTGGATTTGTCAGCTTAGTCCCCTCTGATTTACAGAGGTCTTTTTCTCTGTGTCTGCTGTGTGTACTTGCGTCTCCTCACGCTAGATAACCCTTTCTTCAACTGTTGATTCCGGCTGCTGTTGTCTGCTACACTCGAGATCTTTCCTGTCTTTTAATTCTTTAACTAGCAGATAAAACAAACATGATGATGACTCCTTAGACTGATGTTCACAGGCTCGTAACAATGGAGGCTATCACCAACAAGAACCATACTTCATGTTATTATTCATTTTTATATTATTAGGGTTAAAATGAAGCCTTCGTGTATGGTAGGAAAATATTCTACTACTGAGCTATATCCTCAGTCTTCATTTTCTTTCTACTTTGAGACAAGGTTTCACCAAGTAGCCCAGGGCTGCCTTTGAACCTGTGATTCTCCTGCCTTAACCTCCTAAGCACCTGGGATTATGAGCTTGTGCCACCAGACCAGGGTCATGCACTTTTTAATAGACCTCCTACACGATGAAGCACGCAAGAAATGAATTATTATGGTCCATTTTCAGTATGAGGTGTGCTGAAAGTTCATCCAGGCTACAGGGAAGCAGGAAGCGATAGGCCCCTCCCCCAGCTGGCAGCTGGAGCTAGCTTGCCTTTGCGACTCTGAGAGCTGGACAATTGCAGTTATTTACTGTCAGTAAAGAGGCAATCCCAAGCCAAAAATTGTTCATAAGCTAAGGTTCTATGTCCTGAACCAATAGGATGGTGAGTTTGGGACAGGGACACGTCCTGTCCTCTAAGGAGAAAGGCCAGGAAATTTTACAATGAGGGGAATGTGAAAACCACTGCCTTGGACCAAATCAGCACACCAACCCATTTTTGCCTTTTATCCATGTGGAGCCCCTTTCTGCAAAGCTGTATATTAACAACTGTTTTGTTCCCATTTGTCTCTTGAATTTGTTATTACCTTATTTCCCACAGATGGGAGATCCCAGTCAAAGCCTTCCAGAAACTGCTTTTTAAACGACGTCACTAGTGTATAGACACAGACACATGGACCCACACAGAGATGAAAATTAGTCTGACTAGTGGCCTCTGCCTATTGCTCTCCTAGACAAGATCATTTGAAAAAACGGAGACTTTCTTTCTCTTTCTCCTTGTGAATGCAAAAAATGCTGTCACTGGGACAAAAACACCCGTCTGTATATGAGCACCAGCAGAGAGACAGGGACCAAAAGGAAGATAAAATCCAAAAGCACACAGAGAGCTGGTTTTTTAACCACTCAGTCACCATTCTTTCAGTCAAGCTGGAACGAGCAAAGAAAAGTGCACTAACTCTATATCCCTCTGAGACCTCATAAAACAGGAGGGGGACTGAGATACAAAGGGCACAATCTGAGAACCAGAAAAGGCTCCCCAAACACAAGTCAGCTGCTCAACCAGAAGGTACCAGATAAACAACATTCTCCGACCTATTTCAGAAACCAAGGGGTCCAGAGGGTAGCCACACATCCTGCTCCCCAACCCCTTCCCTGCCTCCTGCTGGCTGCAGACTCAGGCTGTGAAACCTACACTATCCACAGAGAGCTATAAGAAGAAACACCCACCCACACCCCTCCACCTTCCTGCCATATGGGTCTTCATTTCTCTCCAGGGCCCCTCCATGTTGTTGTCTGTCTGCCCATGGCACTGATAATAACACGAGTATGTTAATAATAATATATGTAGATAGAAGATGCTAGTATAGCTACCTAGTTTGGGATACATAAGACCCTGTCTCAAAATAAACCGATAAATAATAAAATAAAAGCTACTATTGAATTATATTATCACAGTCAGTTAATCCAACATATTTAGCACATTTTCAACTTGCCTTCCAACAAATATTCTCTTTTTCATTGTGTCCAAAGATAAGCGTGTGGCTTTTTGTAGACTGTCCAGTAATTGATGAGAGAAGAAAGCATAGACCTCCTTACATTCCTGGAACAAGAAATTAATTATGTTACATTCAATGCCAGAAATGAACACCTAGCATCCCCAAAGGGACACATGAGCAGTGAGAAAGAATAGACCATGCAATTTCACTGCTGGAGAAATAAATTCAACCCTACATTTCTTGCCTGGGTTTCTTTAGACATACACATAACAAATATTTGTTAATGTATGAAGAGAGGTTGCCAAAACAGCCTAGCAGGCCACATGAGGGCAGACTCAAAGGCAGAATTGCCAAAAAAAAAAAGGAAAAAAAAAAAAAAACAAAACAGTGTTTGAGTAATCCAGGTTTGCTCAATATTCAATGCACACTGAAACTTGAGGGTGAAGTTTCTCAATGCTTGGTTTGTGGAATGGGCTGAGGGGTTTATGAGTCTCCTCAGAGACACAGAGAGGTCCAGCCTCTGCTTTCTTTTGTCATTATTCCGTTGATCATGACAGGAATCAAACCCAGGTCCTTTCTGCAGGCTCAGGCTAGCCCAGTCCCTGGAGTGCCCCCCCCCCAACACACACACACTGCTTTTACCAGGAGTCACACACAGTGCCTGGTTCTGTGTCTCACTACTCTGGCCCCTTTAAGGCTGGTGGAAGAGTGGGCTCAGAAGAGTCACCAGAACAAAGAGGAGTGCCAAGCTCTTCACGGTGGTCCTGGATAATGGGTTATCTGGCTACACCACAGATACAATCAGAATCTGGAATCTGAAAAAAGCCACTATGGCACAGCAAGAGAGGCAGGTTTGATAAGCAGAGGTGACAGTGGCCACTCAATCAGAGGGACTACTGAGGCTCAGTCTTGGATTCACATACACATACACACTTGTATTTATTTATTTTATTTTAAAACACAGGCAATCAGAGTGTTCATATAACCAGCCATGGACAGAATCATACCAAAATGAGGGCACTGACTAAGACTGTAAAGTTGCTAGGTCTTGCCCGATCCTACAGGGTAAAAAACTGCATTGTATTTCCTGGGTTCTGTTGCAAGGCAGACACCAACTGATTGCAGGCCTGTCCCAGAGCAGCTCCATATGTGTTATCTATGTTCTTATGAGTCACTCACTAGTCCCCAAAACCCACAATAAATACCTTTTTAAATTCATCTTCTTTGTCATTGGTTTCAACCTCCTTTGACTCAGGTTCATATTCAAGGCTATCGGCCTCTTCTGTCTCGCTTCCAAATACAACGTGCTTCCTCTGTTCTGGACACAGAAAACAAAACAAAAATGTAACACTGGAATTTCTAGGGTTAGACTGATCCTACTCGGTCAGTCAAGCTTCACTAGGAAGCTCTTTTTTTTTATTTCATTTTTATTTTAGGTGTTATGGGAATGTATGTGCAACCAGGACCTCTGATTGACAGGGACAAAACCTTCTGAGATTTTAGAGTAAAGCCACCAACTACAGACTTCTACCCAGTCAGTTCTTACATGGAGCTCAAAAAAAAAAAAATTGTTTTAACTAAACAAATCTTCCATTGCAAATTTACCCATTGACAGGGCAACCTCAGTGAACCTAAAACCACCATGTTCTTAAACACCAATCCAGAAGCAGGAAGTGCGGAATTCCCCAACAGGGAATTTAAAGTCACGCAGCCCTCATAAAATGGTTTCAGATTCAGCAACTTGTGGCTTGGGCTTATGAGCATGTATTTACTGGAATTATTGGGGCCCTGGGTTCTTTCAGCAAAATAAGAAATTCTAAAATATTTGGAGAACAGGAAACACACACACACACACACACACACACACACACACAATTCAAAATTATTTCAACCTCTTTAAATAGTTGGTACGATAAGGAAATTTCCAATCAGACATACCCAAGCACACTAGAATAGAGTGGAAGTTTAAGACAAAAAGCTCAAGGCTCAGAGATGGATTGGCCCTCAGGAGAGTGTGAAGTTCTTCCAGAGGACCTGAGTTCAGCTCCCATTACCCCTGACAGTGGACGGGGTCGGCTCACAGTTGCCTATAACTCCAGCTCCAGGGCATCTGACTCCCCCTCACATATACACTCATACTCACAAAGACACATGCATGTAAATAAAAAAAAAGAAAGAAAGAAATCTTTAAAAACAAAAGGACATGGAGCTCCTTAGACCATCCTTTCATCAAGGGTGGGAGGGCAGGTCACACACCATGGTGTGATTTTGGCTGCCCTGAACCTCTGAGGCATTCCTAAGCAGAAACACATAGTTAATTCTGCAGAAAGGGCTGGGGTAGGTGGGGGATATCTTAAAACACAGCCTTGCCCAAATTACAATTTTCAGAGTCATGAAAATTATAGATTTTGCTCTTTGGTGTTTTGTCGGGAGCCAAGAACAATTTCA